AAAGCCGCGTTGAGGCAAAAAGCAGTCTAAAAAGAGCACAATCAGGGTAGCCCAGGTCAGTCACCTAAACCTGGTGGCAGGTTGTCGTAGGCTTCAGGGCTATGAATAATCAACGGGTTAGTGAGAAATATAATTTTGTTTGTCGTGATTTAACGTTATGAGGTTTCTCGCTTAACAAGTGAATTCATGACTTGAAGGTAATCGTGAGTTATTTGTACGACCAGTATAGGTTATACCAGATCAACAGTTCTCTACGTATCGCTCAGAAAGACACCAGCGCCACGTTTTGCTTGACGTGAAGATACTGTCCTTTCCAGGACTTTGACATACAGACTACGTTAAAAACATACTGTTATTTGCAGTCGGAAAACACGCATGCATGCCATTTACTTCCACCAAATAAGTAACGTATAAGAGGAAACAGCATGACGCTAGTCACCTGGAGATTTGTGAGTTACTCCATCAGACTGAGCAGTGTCACGTGATGAGTTCGGTGTTGATGGTCTCCGATTCCACTGGGTGATGCCGCTTGGGATGCTTTACAGCGTAGTTCTGGTTAACCGGTGTCAGGCCAGTGCTCTGATGTGGCCTATGACATCTTTGTATGACGCGTAAAAATGACGTAGGAAACGTACTGATGATAACGCAGGTCTAGGTTTATTATTCTCCTGCGATTATCCGACGCGAAAGGGGTCTTTGATGCGCTACGCCCTCCCCATCTGCCTATCTTCAAAGTGAGCGATCCTATACAGAAATGTGCCTTAGGCTAGAATTTCGAACTAACTTTGATCGTTTCAGGCTTAAAGGGAATGCTCCACATTTGAAGATATGGAAGCGAGCATGAGATGTGATGAATAAAGCTCGATTATAACTATTGGCATACCTTTATGTAGAAAAGGCTGCTTTAGTGAACACAATTTCTCTGTTCAGTAAACATCCTCCTCAATACGTCATTGTTTCATCGCGCAATCGTACCTTGTAAAACATTGATTGACAGCCGATAGGCGGCATTTATGTCTGGAAATCGTGCTCACGAACACCATGCATGATCGACTCGACAATTATACTTCGCCTGGCCTTGATCGCCGCGTAGCCAACGGAATGAAAGGATATTTCTGACGTTATTGTGGCGCCATGGATGGCTGAGTAACCTTGAAATTATCTCTCGAAATGGTCTGCACATCTTTGTGTTTAAGTGTTCTTGGGTGTTTAGCTCAGAAACCGGAAGGGTTTGGGTCTTAAGAAGGGCGGAGCTGTGAACTGTACCGAATGATCGTTAAGATGCATATTTCAGGTGAAAATCCCATGCAAATAGGGTGCATTCCCTTTAACAGCCGACAGCCATTGTACTAAAGCCGTTTGCCATTGTGTTGAACATGGAGGGAGGGGGGCAGATACCGACGATGCCTGACGATGCAGATGCCTGACGTTACAGCCATGGATGAAACTTTGCGCGTATTTGGAAGGCTCGTTAGCCCCATTTTATGATACACGAAAAGTGACGAAAACTACGATGTCAAAGAAGGATCTGGTCCTGGAGCTCAGCTTTAAGGGGACCTGGGATGATTGCAGCTATTAAGTCACGTCACACATACGTAAAACGTCACACATATAACGTTAAAGAGGAAATCGTCAGTCACGGCATCTCATCGGGGAATTTGAACAAGTTGTACCTTCAAACTAGAATACAAATATTGGACAGTTAATTCTAAAGAGCTTCCGTACCAAAAATACACCTTAAATCACAGGGAGGTTACTTTCCATATTGCGTATTTCACGCCTAGTGCGCATGGCACAGCGCTGAGCACAGTCAATAGAGCGCAGCCAACAGAGCGTAGCTGGCGGGCAGAGCGAGGGTTGAGCGGCCGGCGATGGGGCTAGCGCCGTCAGGCTGGCGCCGGCGCTGGCGCCGGTGTCCCCGGCGCCGGCGCCGGCACGTGCTGGGCCGCCCCGCCCTCCCGTCCGCTGCCGGCCGGGGCCCGCTCCGCCCACCCGGCCGCCACCGGCCGCCGCCCGCCGGCGCGCCACCGCCTCATAGCTTCCAGGCTCGAGATGTGTATCAGCTGCATACTGACAGGTGGACCGTGATGGAAAACCGCGAACGTTAAAATTGGCTCGTGCTCACAACAGGAGTGCCCCGCCTTTTCCCAGAACTGTTTGCCTGTGTCTGTGGGGGCGCTTTAGGTTGATTAGCCCGCGTACCGGTCCTACCAGATGTTTCTTTTTGCGCACCACCACGCTGTCCCCATCGACGCTGTAATAATGCAATCTTTGGTTTTTGCTACTTAACTGAACTATGCCGAGGGTGTGTTCAAGTCTCCTGGGCTGAACCGCTCATGCTGAGAACGTTGCTATTTAATGGGATTTTGGCGCGCCAAATAGCCCCCAAGAAACGTGAAACAATAGATGTATTGCAATTCTGGTAATGGAGGTTCGACTGTCCGCGCTGAGGTGCACTGACATGAATACTAACTTGACGCCGTACCGGTGAGAGACAGCCGTAAAGCAGCCCAGCGCACAGTGCGGCGCAAGGAACAGCGACCGATCATAACATGTTTACTTTGTGCATGAAGTTGAATGCTTCTTCGTCAGTTTTTAGGTGTAAATTGGCGAATGCGTGCATTTCTACGCACGCCGATAAGAAGACATGTTTGTTTAGTCAATTCCACACTACTCAGAGAGATGGACAGCCACTCAGCTCATGCATATATCAGAACGCATGGCCGTTGTGGTTAACTCGCTCCATGACGAAAGGAATCTCTGCTAAATCTAGCTTGCGCCGCGATTATGTAACCGAACCACGGCAATGCGTCATCGCCACGGCCATGACCCAGTCTAGCGTATGAGGTACGGTATTCGATGTGCTAGCTATTAGCCAAAGGGTGAAATGTACCTACAAATTCGGTGTGTTATGGAGGGATGACCGCGGTAGAGTTTTCACTATTCCAAACAAAAGCACGGATGTTTCCACAAAGGTGCCTTCTTCTAAGTAGTGCACACGCCTCACATTTTCCAACAGAAATAGTAGCGTCTTGCACATCTGTTTATATTCAGATTTCTCATTCGCGTGAGGAGGACACTCCGGAGATATCCTCAATGTACCAGCTCCGAAGAGATAAGCTCCCCGCTGGCCGTCTGGGTCGTTGTTATCCCGTGATAAGCGCGATATACCGAGATTCTATTGAATCTCGTTTCAGCCAGAGACCGACCGTTAGGCGCTGGCGGTTGAACACCGATCCTTCAATTCTCCACCTCCAGTGGCATTATAGCCCAGCCAGTATGGGAGGAGTGCTCTGGAGAGGGGGGGGGGGGGCAGAGCACTGTTCTGAGAGCAGCGGCCGACCTCTGGAGCATGTTTCGATGCCAATGTCACCTCGCCCCACGTCTCCGGGTACGACGAACGCCAACCCATCGGAGAGGCCCGTGTCCACCTTTCCTCTCTGCCACCGCGGCGCCTCCGAGGCCTCGTGGTAACGGGGCCGCCGGTGATGAGGTGAGCTGATATCTGACCATTGGCGAAAGCTTGGAAGTTAGTGCTCAGCATCAGGCATGTATCCGCGCCTGTCGAGGCCTTGGCTGCACAAGCTTCCGCGGTTACTCAACCCGATATATTCAGCACGACGGGTCAGAAAACATGTAGCGATTGCTGGATTAGTGTCGGGTGCAACCTGTCTGCAGCATCACGTGCAGTTTGATTCGTTTATGCATGGTAAAAACCCGTCAACCCTGGATTAATTAATTCAAGATATAATCGCGACGTGCCAGCCAACAATGCAGTCATGACACGATGCAAGAATGCTCTGCCGCCCCGGTTGTCAAGGGCCAGCTGCCAAAAAATGCTACTTGGCATTGCATACCCAATGTAGGATGACAAACGATATGGACGACAAAGCAAGACATTTGCGATGCCACTGTATTCAGTGCTCGTTCGGCACAGCGTGCTTCTTCTGCTGTCTGCTTAGCGCGAGTAGATTTTCAGCATGATGATCATTGTTTAACGCCGCCAAAGTCGTTTCAGAACGATATCCGGTGGGGCATGCCCAATACCTACGACAAACTTCAATCTATCCGAAATCCACAATAGCCTTATTGGCTTCTCAGTCACACGCGCTTTTGATGATGCAAGATAAGATCAAGAGGTATGTTAATGCACGCAAGTGAGATGCCAGTAACTAGGTGCATATTGGACAACCGTGCGTCCATAATTGAACGATGACGGGTCCACAGTGATTCAAGCGCAGGAGTTTTCAAGTCACTTCAAAGAACAGCTGAGGTGTTTGAGTAAACCGAGAAGAATGTGGGGTAGCCTCTCCAGCCTCAGCAGGCATGAATGGCGGTGTTGGAACTGGGGTCACTACCTCTAACCCATCACCCGCTGACTGCATCGCCACCTCTGACCACTTACCCGCTGACGGCGCCGCCACCTCTAACTCCTCACCCGCTAACAGCATCGCCACCTCTGGCCCCTCTTCCGCTGACGGCACCGCCACCTCTGACCCCTCACCCGCTGACGGCACCACCGCCTCTGACCCCTCACCCGCTGACGGCACCGCCGCCTCTGACCCCTCACCCGCTGACGGCACCGCCGCCTCTGACCACTCACCCGCTGACGGCACCGCCGCCTCTGACCCCTCACCCGCTGACGGCACCGCTACCTCCGACCCCTCACCTACGGACGGCACCGCCTCCTCTGACCCCTCACCTGCCGACAGCACCGCCTCCTCTGACCCCTCACCTACGGACGGCACCGCCTAATCTGACCCCTCACCCGCCGACGGCACCGCCTCCTCTGACCCCTCACCAACGGACGGCACCGCCACCTCCGACCCCTCACCTAGGACGGTACCGCCTCCTCTGACCCCTCACCTGCCGACAGCACCGTCTCCTCTGACCCCTCACCCGCCGACGGCACTGCCACCTCTGATCGCCCACCCTCTAACGGCGCCGGAGAAAAACCCCATCCGTCATCCAAAAAACCTGATCCGTCGCGTCCGTTTCAGCACCGATGGCCGAGGGTGTTGGCCTCCTGGCTGACACCTCCCTGGCCGACGAGATCCTCTACTTCGAACTGCCACCCGACCTGTCTCCTCGCTCACTGAGCAGCGCCCGCATCCTCCTGCAAGCTGGAGGGACTGATGACTCGCGACCCGCCGTACAAGACGCCCTCTATGCGAAACTGTACCAGGTAATATGTGCCGTCCGTGAAAGCACCCACATCGTCCCTAGATGGCAGCGACGGTCGGTCTGGGTTATGTTCTCACAGTTCAATATTTCTCTTTAATATTCTTTTCTGGCAGGAGGCGTGGATATTAGAGATGCGCACAATACATTCGGTAATCATTTCTAGAGCGCATAAGTTGGGTTGGTGAGTGTGGTAGTATTCTCTAAACCGACTTGGATTGCTTAAAAATTCGTTAAAAGTGAGCGGCTTTGCCACGAGTCAAAACCCAGCGTATATCAAGGTTTTAAAGATGTTTCGTTCCATGCCAGACCATAACTGCAGTGTCAAAATCCGCAAACTCGCCCGGGGACCTGTCCCCGTCTCCCATGTAGCGAGGCCAATGCTGACGCTGCAGCTGTGTTCTCACAGCCGGTTCCTGTCGGAAGCACCTACATACTCGAGGACTTCGCAACGCGGACGATACAGCAGCATGACATCGAGTACGACTTTGTGTCAATAGATGTCACGGACCTAGTCTCTGGTTGGCTCAAATCTCCCAGAGACAACAACGGGGTCGTCGTGAGGAGCATTAACCACAATGGCACCCAGAACCACGCTCTGTTTAGCGCTTTGGAAGGGGAAGGCCTGCCCACTTCACAGGAGGTGAGTTCCCATCTGCATGCCGCCGCACGCGCCGCAGAATCTGCGGCGCTGGCGGCACTTGTTTCCAAGCAACAACTAGCTGCACCACATCTGATGTGGTGCAGCTAGTTGTTGCTTCTTTTCTCCGGCCGGTGCTAGGCCAAGGCCCTCCAAAGGCGTGCGGAAAATGAGCGCTATTCCAATTAAAAAGCGCGGTGGAAGCAGCCAAGGCTTGTGATCACCGATGACTTAAAAACCTTGCGCAGTCGGACCGCCATTCACACCAAAAACTGCGCCTTTCCGGTGTTTTTTATCCTCTCAGATCTTCGGCGATGACTAACTGTAAGCAGCAGGCGTAGTTCATCATCACTGCCTGCAATCCTTTGGAAAAGACCGCTATCCGCTATACGTCCACTTGCGCGCACCGACCCAACAGTCAGCACCACGTCCGGTAATGTCCCAACAGTCCGGCGCCGGCCCAGCAGTCAGCACCACCCCGGGACCGACCCAACAGTCAGCACCACGTCCGGTAATGTCCCAACAGTCCGGCGCCGGCCCAGCAGTCAGCCCACGTCCGATACTGAACCAACAGTCAGCACCACGTCCGGTAATGTCCCAACAGTCCGGCGCCGGCCCAGCAGTCAGCCCCACGTCCGATACTGAACCAACAGTCAGCACCACGTCCGGTAATGTCCCAACAGTCCGGCGCCGGCCCAGCAGTCAGCCCCACGTCCGATACTGAACCAACAGTCAGCACCACGCTCAGTAGTATGTCATCAATCAGCAACACACTCGGTACCGTCTCAACAATCAGCAACACACCCGGTACCGTCCCAACGATCAGCACCACGCTCGACACTGTTCCAACGATCAGCATCACGCCCGGTGCTCCCACCATCCGTCAGTGCTGATGTGTGCCCCCCCCCCTTCCCGTGAATTTCACCAGCTGTCTCGTCGTCATCTGCCGCTATCACCGCCCCTTGTGGCGCCCAGTGTGACGCTGAGTGTGACGCAGGGTGTGACACTGGTTGTGATGCTCGGTGTGGCGCCCAGTGTGACGTTCGGTGTGACGTTTGGCAGCAGTCGACGATTCTGGAGGTGCAGCTGGAGCCGACGCCGGCGGCCGGTCGTGACCGGCGCGCGGTCGACGGCAGCGAAATGTGCGCCGACGGCGGTTCCACTAAGAGCTGCTGCCTGTACCCGCTCGAGGTGGACTTCCTCCGCTTCTCCTGGGACTGGGTGATCGCGCCCACAGTCTACCAAGCCAACTACTGCCGCGGCGAGTGCCCGCCCGTCTATCTGCAGCAGTACCCGCACGCGCACATCGCCGAACAGATCGGCGGCAATGCCGGCCCCTGCTGCGGCCCGCGCCGCCTGGACGGCCTGCTCATGCTTTACTGGGACCCGGAGGGGCGCATCAGGTAACTGCTGTCGGCACACCCCGGAAACAGGTGGGAACGGGCAGCCACCAGCGAACACTTCCAGACGTTGGCATTGCGGAAGGTAATTGGAGCAGCCCTGTTGGTGAAATCGGTAACCACTGTAAGCAAGAAGTTTGGTAGATCTGACGCGTGTGTGTTGCTGACAAAACGTGCAAGAATCATTACCTAAAAAGGAATGGAGGAACGAGCCGGGAGTGCTAACAGCTTTTTTGGAGAGTGGGTAGACACTGCACTCCGTGGTAATACATTCTTCCAGGTTTCCTTCAAGATGCTTTCTATTAGCATAAAGGTAGGCACGTCTCATATGGGTAACACAAACTAGCGCTACATGGATATGACCTCAAGCGTCATAAGCTAGTGTTTGTCTACAGGTCATGGCCACTCGGGGTCATCTTTAAAGGTTAACTTTCAGGTCAAAGACGGGAAACTCCATACGGAGGAGCAGCCAGAGCCTTGATAAAGTGGTGGTGGTGGGGGCACAGGGTTGACAAAGGGCCCCTGACGGTAAAAGGTCCAAAAAGCCCCCCTTCATTGCCTGGATTTGGCCCACTTCATTTTCAACCGGCATTATTTGCCATCGTTTTCTTTTCGTTTTTAGCTTCCTTTGCTGGCACAGAAGCTACCGGTAGAAGCAAACTACCGTCTGTGTTTTAAAGCCAATAACCTGAAGAAATCGGGCATTAAGTATCTGCGTGGAATAATCCACCGGTGCATAGATAAAACAGCAGTATTAGTCTTACTCCTCGCAGAAAACCAGAAGAATGGAGATATAGTTGGGTTGATATTTCGGAACATGCTTTCATCGAAACAACAACAGAAGTGCTATTGTTTCGATGAAGGCATGTTGCCGAAATATCAAGCCAACTATATCTCCATTCTCCTGGTTTTCTCTGAGGAATTAGGCTAATACTACTGTCTTATCTATGTAAATAATGCTCCTCGCTAAAGCACTGGACAACTTACATAATTCACCGGAGCTTTTCACTTTAAAGCTGTTAACTATTTATGAGCCGATACAGCTAAGAGTCTTGGCCATAATCTTTTTGCTGACTTCTAAAGATATTGAGGTATCCGGCAACGTTAACTGAAGGTCGAAATGGGGTCAAAAATGTGTATTTACATAGCCAGCTTATGCTCGTCTGGAAATGTTCAGCTCGCAGTCAGAAGCGATCAGTGAAAATATCTCATGGTTTTGAGCATGCGCCCTCCGAAGCCTGCAAACGAAAACCCCGACGCCGAGCATGGTAGTCTCCTTGGGCCGCGTCATGTTGGTCTCGCGGCTCGACCATCGGGCGGCAACCAATGGGCGGACGAAGACAGTGAACATATGAGAGAACTACCTTTGACCGATTTATGACATCAATTCGTGCGTCCAGAAGACAGTGCTGGCGTGTATTTTACCTGCGTGATTGTTGGATTCATGCTGGAAAGGATTGGCATTTACATCATGAAAGGCGTGCCACAAAGCTGCGCGTCTTTCAAAGGACAACCTCAAAATTATAAGAGCGAAATATATGCATCAGTCATATCTTTTGAACGGTAAGAATTGATTTTGAAAGGCTTTCGGAAACATCATTTCATGACGGCCGCCGACGCGCGTCGGGCGCCCTAATTTCCATCCACTCTTTTGAACATTAGTGACCCCTTACCTTTTCCGGGAAAGGGGTCACGTGACAAGACCAAAGGGGGCAATCGTTTGCGGCCGGGGGCTGAAAGGGCATTCCGTCCTAGCAGAGCGCTATCGGCTGCGATTCTGGTGACACGGGGATGGGGTCCCCTGGTCCATCGGGAGGCCCCAAAGAGAGGCCCCCTGACCTAACTAACTAACCAACTAACTAGCGGGACTAGAGGACTAAGGACTAACGCGAGAGGCCCTCTGACCCGGGCAGCTGGCCCCAGGTTGATGCATGGGCCCTCATTGACGCAACAATATCCATTATCGTCACATGTGGTCCAATAATTAACACAGGCTACAGTTTGGCTTAACGGACCCTGAGCTGAAATGGGATGAAATATGAAATGGAGGGTGGGTATTTTCCACCCCGTTCCTTATTGGAGGCCCTGACTGACACAGGGCCCTCCCATTGTTTCATTGTAGACTCCTCATAAGCTCTCCTATCTTCTTCCATTGTTAAACGGCCACGCCCAACGCAAGGGGCACTCTGGTATTCAGGATCCAGTCCCTGTTCGTGTTCAGTAAGTGTTCCCCTGGCCGAATCGGAGCCCCTTGCCGGATCGGGACCCGTTGCTACATCGGAACCCCTTGCCTACACAGGATACTGTTCGCCACTGTGGGCGCCTGACTGACACAGGGCCCCTGGGCAATGCGAATCACACGCCCGAGCCTCGACCATGCTCGACAAATGGGCCTCAAGGTGCAGACCGACATAGGGCCCACTGTTCAGTGTTAGTGGCCTCTGGCTGAAATAGGAGCCCAGTGTTCCAGGGGTCTTCCATCGGTGTACGAGGCCCTCTGACTGACATCTGACGTATGAAAATCCTTAATGTGGCCTACAACCAGCCCTTCGGGCCATTCAGCCTTCCAATCAGGTCCTTGATCTTTGGTCCCGAAAAGCCCTTCGGATCCCTCTTTGAGCGCCTTCGAGTTCCCGCGAACGCGGTCAACAGCCGACTCGGAACCACTTGCCAACACGGAGCCCCCTGTTGGTCACTGTGGGCCCCCGACCGACATGGGCTTCTCACTGTTTCAGGGACCCGACTAATGCAAATCACGCGCTCCGGACTTGTTGCTGCCCGGGAAATTGGCACTTACGGCTCTCGACGATACTCGGCGATACAATTTCTGTTGGCTTAAAACGCCGCACGGCCAATGGGGTTGCATTTTTGAATGACGTCTCTATCGCGTCACGTGTGCATAGGTGACCTTGAAACAGCAAGCACAAAATGGCCTGCACATCTTGTCGGACGTGTAGCTCAGGCACAAGAGCGCTTTAGGTCTCAGGAAGGGCAGGGCTGTGAATTGCACCGAATGACCTGAAAGATGTCTTTCAGGTCAAACCCCCAGGTCAATTCGGAACACCCCCTTAAACACGTCGTGTGACCCACAGGCTTGACAACCTGCCGGACATGATCGTGAGAAACTGCGCCTGTCTGTAAAGGCGCGCGGCCGCGCTCGCCGAACGCTTTGGGCAAGGACGGAGGCGCACGAGGACAGTGGCGGTGCTCACCTGAAGGCGAGCCCTCCTCAGAGGCAGACAGCTCGGCCTGGTTACTGCGTCCCGTCCCGTCCCTTCCCGTCCCGTCGCGGCAGCCACATTCAGGAACCCAGCCGGGGCGCGTGGCCCAGCGGACAGCTGCGCGGTGAGGACGGTCAAGGGCATGGCAAGGGGCAAGATGATCTTTTATTGCCTCGACTCGCCTCAGATTCGAGTCGACGGACCCGTGCGTAACGAAAGCCCAAGCGCGCATTGGGCCGCTTGTGCACCTTAGTGCTGTGATAACCGTCTCAAGATGACGCCCATGCGAGCTGCGCTACCACTCGTGGTCTTTCCATGGCTCTGTTACATCGGCGTGCAGGCAGTCGTGCCCCATGACTTCGCACTTGGGGTTACGTTTAGTGGGTGTGCATACATTTGTAAGACATTTGTTGATGTCAGCATGATATCCCTTTAGAGCGTACGTGCAGTGAGCTGTGTGCGATTGCTCGTCTTACCTTAGCAACTGATGTGACAGCGGTGAAGCATCTATCTTTACGCTGAAGATATTCCCTTTAGAGCGTACGTGCAGTGAGCCGTGTGCGATTGCTCATCTTACCTTAGCCAACTGATGTGACAGCGGTGAAGCATCTATTTTTACGCTGAAGATATCCCCTTTGGAGCGTACGTGCAGTGAGCTGTGTGCGATTGCTCATCTTACCTTAGCCAACTCATGTGACTGCGGTGAAGCATCTATTTTTACGCTGACGATATCCCCTTTAGAGCCTACGTGCAGTGAGCTGTGTGCGATTGCTCATCTTATTTTAGCCAGCTGATGTGGCAGCGATGAAGCGTCTATTTTTACGCTGAAGATTCCATTGGACCAATACACGATCCACGCAGAATCCAAAACAGTATCGCTGGCTGTGTTCATGCGGATCGACAGCCCAAGCCTGACACACTACACCGCGTGTGTCGCGGGACCTTGGACGCTGGCAAGGCCTGGCAAACGTCCGGTCCTGCCTAAATTTCGTTTACGTTTGGTACATGCCACAATGACATGGGCTAAATTTATAACGTCTAAGTAAACCCCATTCAACGTCCAGGGAGCGCAGCACCAGCGCACAACCGGCACAAAATGTTATGGCCAGAGCTAATGGCACCAGGCTGCCAACTTCCTGACGCATCTGTCACATCCTAATCGCCTGCTACATCGGTCTCTCACGATGCGCAAAACCCCTTTCGGTGTCGCGAAACCTTCTCCTCCACGACCAGCGGCAGCCCGGCGTCCGGCGCCGACAGACACAGACCGAGCAGGGTCTCTCCGTCTATTGGACAAGTATGTATGCGAATGAGAACAGAATGCCGCGCCCAGACCGCATGCAGCGTCTGCTGACGGCTCGGCCGCGCGCCGCTCCCTGGTGACGGCCGGTGCCGCGCCCGGGAACCGGACAAATGATACGTGACACACGCCAGCCGGCGGCCATCGGCTCGCCCCCTCGACCGCCAGCCTAGTACGGACGGTCGCGGTCGCGGCCGCCGTAGTCGTGGCGCATGGGGCCGCCGTCGCGGCCTCCGCGGTAGCCGCCGCGGCCGCCGCGGTAGCCACCGTCGCCGCCGCCGGCGCCCGGCGGCTTGCCCGTCTGGCAGCGGTTGCACTCGTGGCGCCAGGCAAAGTTCACGTTGCCGCAGTCGTCGTTCGGGCACTTCCAGTCGCCGGCCGCGCCTGCCGGGCGCCAGCGCAGCGGCGTCACGAAATGCAGGGCGTTCACGCGCGACCAGCGCGCACACATGGTTACAGTGCTGAGGTAATGGCATGAACGAAATTGTCCGTCCCTTTCTGGCCGATAATGGCGTTAAACGCCTCCGATCTCAGAGTTCATTAAGTTTACGGAAGCCGGGTCACTCTCTTTCAAAGCCCAAGGGAACGTCGGCTAGCAGCCGTGTCACTCGACAGCCGTCCACCGGGAGGTGCTGCGAATGGTGGCTAACTGCTGACCCGACATCAAATCTACGGCGCATTTGGTTTGGTTTGGTCCTACGGTCTGGCGCATTTTGGAAGTCATGAACATTCAGCGAAAACACATTTCAACACGCTGTGCACAACGTACATCAAACGAGCGCACTTGAACGACGGCCGACAAGCTATAGTCCCTTGCTGGTGGCGCACCACTCACCTGGCGGCCCGCCGCCGCGTCCCCGGCCGCGGAAGTCGCCGCGCCCACGGCCGCGCGAGCGGTCCGTCGCCGTGCGCCGCTCGGCCATCGACACCTTGATCGTGTTGCCGCGGAAGTCCTTGCCCGAGAACCAGTCGATGGCCGACTTGGCCGCCTCCACGTCGTCGTACGTCACCGTACACTCGCCCTTGTTCGAGCCCGTCATCTTGTCCTTGTACATCCAGATCCGCGGCAGCCCGGTCCGCTTGTCCAGCTGTGGGCGGCGCAACGGCGTTATCGGCGGGCTGCGCAGGAGTGCGCTGCGATGCGAGATGAAGCCAAACCGTGCGCACATTGTACCCCCCCCCCCCCCCCCCCCCCCCGATCCACCCAGGACATGCCATCGCTCAGTAGCGACTTCAGGGTGGTTGACGTTCCAACGCGCACCAAAAAGTGCGTTGAACGACCACACGTCCACAGTCGGCGTCACCTCCATCCAATGTCTGGAGCCGTTTGCCGGCTGGTCAGGCGGGGAAAGCCGAATTCAGCACGGGCCGTCAACGGCGGCCCGTCCGCTACCTTAATACGGCCGATGGAGCCGAAGAAGTTGGCGACCTCTTCAGTGGAGCTTTCGGGCGGCATGCCGCACACGAAGATGGTGTCTTCGAACGTCTGCCGGAATCCGCCGCCGCTGCCGCCGCCGTCGTCACCGCCATACCCACCTGCAGCGGCGCCGGCCACGGTCAGCGCGCGACACGAGCGCTGGAGTGGGTGCGCGGTTCTTACATACACGCAAACACACGCAGCAGCAGCCGCAGCGGGGCAAGGGGTCACGCCCAGCCCACACGGGCTACTCCGGCACCGCTCCTGGTCACAGCCAGATATTGCACCACACACTCACATACACAACGTCTCCACGCGCCAGGCGGCGAGCCCGAAGCCAGCCGCACCCGATGGCCAGAGCCGCTCCACATAGCAACCAGGCCCTGGGTACAAATGAATAATGCAATGCCACATCTTGTCCAATCTGAAAGCCTTTCGCAGCGCAGACTGACACCGCCGAAGTCCGCGGCTCCCTTTATGGCAGTTTCCGACGCCCTCGGCGAATGGCGATGCCATCGCCCTAACCGCTTCCATTGCCAACCCATACCAACCAGTCGCGCTCAGCCACCACTCCCAGATCGAGTCGCCAGCTCTCGGCCAATCCACACCTGTCCCACTCAGGCTTCGCAGTCCATTCGTTTTCGAGCAATTTCGGTTTGGCCTGGATAAGAGCCCTTTCGGCCAGTGATGACCATTTCAGGACCATGGGATACAGGAGAGTGGATACTGATGGGGCAAAACTACACGCACCTGGGGGGCTCATCTTGCGAGAATGAGCCTGCACAGGGACCCCTATACGGGGTGTGCGCCCGGCACCCGGGAAAGGCCTCCCAACAGGGGATACTTAAGCCCACTCATGGCTGGCGCGTGTAGCTTGCCCCAGACAAACGAGGTGTCGCAAGGATGCAGGACGAAGTGAGAATGAGGGAAGGAAGAATCTTTCGACCAATCGCTGGCAACTGTACAAGAACAACGGACCAACTCAACGATACACCTAGCGTACAAGCACATCCTGTGCCGTTTGTCACCATTTCTCGCTACACGCCCGCATTTCACACCGCCAGGTTTTGCCCCAGAGGTGCGACGACCTACGACCTCACGTACCACGCGGCGTCATCAGCCTCACGCCCCACCGCATTGCTACCAGTTCTTACCACCCCGATGACTGTCACACGTGAACTGTGCTCGACGAACACTCCTTCCTGCGTTAACTGAACCTTCTCTGCGTCTGTGACCCATGCGCAACCAAGTCATCCCGGACCATGCGTCGAAACCTTGGACCGCTCGTGGCCCTTTCTAACACCGCGCAGCTGTAGACACCACGCTGTGTGTAGCCTTATGCCCAACGCTTCTTCTCCGTTGCTGGAAGACTATCCAGCGCACCGCTGCGAAGAAGCGTGACAGCGCGCAACACAGCTCTCCGCTACCACTCACTGGACACCAGTTTGGCAGCGGGCCGGAAGGCCATCGCACACAGCCCAGGGGAGGGGCACACGTTCCACGGCTGGCGCGTGTCCGCGGGCGACGGCCGCCGCCTTTAAGAGCGCTTCGGCAGGTCACTTCATCTCTCCAGTCAGGCGCTTCGCTCTCCTCTTCATAGCCGTATAAAATCACCATGTTTGACTTAGAAAACTGCTCGCAGAGGGCTCTTCGCGGGGTTCTTGCCCGGGTTTTCCGCGATTTGTACAGACACCGAAGCAAACATTCATCCCACAATGCGGACCGCCCACTTGCTACCTGCCATTATGGTTCATTGTCGAGGGTGTGGTGCTAAAACTTTGAGCCAAACCTTCACTACCGCTAATTCTGCAATCCTCCGCGCTCAACGGGCATCTCCCCGCAGATTGGCAATTACTTGTCATATTGCGGATGGATGCAGTTTGTTCACCCAGACCCATTCTTTCTCCCACACATAAACCACGTCAAAAATCTTCTTCACAACTAATAAACTTCAGAAATATCTTCACGGTTTCGCCAGACTCGAAGACCACAATTTTTCAGCAGACCCGCACGAGCGGCACAAGGTACACACTGACCACTTCTCGATGCTGGGGAGAGTGTACGGAGCTGTTAATGCAGGGGAGCACTAAACCAGATACAGTTCAAGAGCAGGCCAAGCGGCGAGTACTCGCCCAATACCACCATTGAGTCGATATTTACTTTACCACTGACAGGACTCGGCACTTGAAGGACAGCCCACCACATAGAGAAAGCCCGATACTGAGCAACCCGACGACTATCGGGTCCCCTGCAGGCACGGCACATCGCGGGCCCCACACACCGCCCCAGCCCGAAGAGACCCACAGTCGCACGGCGTACTTATCGCTGGTCGGCGATGTTTACCTTTGTTATAGCCACCTTGGCCACCTCTGCAAGAGGCCAGAACCGCACGGTGAGTGGCTTCTCATGTACCAGAGCCGGCTGCTCGCGGCGCCGCACAGGGCGCCCGTCGGTCCAGCGTCAGTCGGAGCCGGCGCCGAGTGGTGGCGCCGGCGGCGTCCGTCCCGCCCTCCCGCGCCGCTGCCCGTCGGGCCCGGCCCGGCCCGCCCCGCCCCACCCACCCACGTCTGTGGCCCGACGGCTGCACCCGTCTCCTTCGTACCGCTGATGACGATGACAGCGTTCGCTGACCGGTGCACCCGCACATTCGTGCCAGTCGGTGCTTTTTTACATTTGTACCGTAGTGCAGGTGACGCTCACTGGCTGCTATAACCAGGCAAACCAGTCCAGTTGCTTCTACACGCTGGCTCAACAGGTGACACATGTGCATGTGTTTGTTGTTGACCCTTAGCCGAATACCTTTTGCTAGTTTTACCACAGACACATGACGCAAGTAAACACATTAAAAACACCATTCTATCCGCTCCCTCCAGTTCTATGGTACTGCACAGTGTCTACCCCAGTCATTGTTTTGTCACCTTGTTTCACCACATACCTGTGAACATAACATGTTACACGTGATGACACTGTCAACCAAGCAATGTTCAACGCAGCGGGGACTAAGTCGGACTTGGTTCATACGGGGGACACCTGCTCATGAATACCGTGCGACTCCATGCTTTGCCGCGGTCTTCGTTTGGTATGCTAAACCCCACAGATTCATGGATGAACACACTGGCTTTGCATATTTGTATCTTAAATGCATATTACGACGCGTCGCATTAATGGTGTTGCGACTACTGATGACGGGGAAGTACCCATGCCAACATACACATCGACGAGATCTCAGCCTTGTTATTTCCATAGCCGAAGTGGCACGCCGTCCAAGGTCTACTACAAGTGGTAGATCCCGCACGCTGGACTCATTCGTCCGTTTTACGCCTCACTGTAGTACGCAACGATTCCAGGTTTGGCATCCTGTCCGATTACCGATTGGGACGCAATTTGTAACACCGAAAATCGCCCACAACTGGCCGTTTGACAAAGCAACGAATTTGGTGTTGAAATGGTGGTAACTCCTTAATGCCTGCCCTACCAAAGTTAAAACTTATTTTGACCCAAATCGGACTGCAATGGACTGCTGATAGACCCCACAACTGTATGGTGCTCGTGATTGCGGCCACTTCTGATTTGCTCAGTTGAGCGCTGTGGCCCAGGTGACGAGGACATTAGCTCGTTGGTCACAGGAATTCTGAACCCCTACTGGCACATTACCGCATCCTGTCTTCGTAATCCACGAACGTACATGTGCACTGAGAAATAAAGGCGGTCAATGCGTCCGACCGAAATCAACTACATTATGCAAAAATATTTCATAAATGCACTGAACTCTTGGTAAGGAGCACTGCTTGCGGCGCGAGGTTCTGTTGGACCTAAGCCAGCATTACTATCAGCTGGAACGGACAGCGTATCATGAGACGCCTGCTTTGGTACCGCATCTGCATAGTATTTGACTATTTGAGGCAATGCAACCATTGGCTTGCCGGCCCGACGCCAACGTGTAAAGGTCCGAGACAATGCCGAGCTAGGTTGCCAGTCGCAACGCCCCCGTCTGAGGCTACATGACATCACGTCCGACTGCACACAACGACGTAATAATGGGCTCATCCGTCCAGACGTTTGAGGGCACGAGCACTGGCACTCGCAGCAGCGTTCCGGTCCACTGAATCGAATACCAACAACTCCATTCCGCGCTCCGAACTCCAGTACTGCTCCTCTATCAATAGCGCCACAGACGCTAGCCAATGCGCTGTCGACAGCTGCGAAGACCTTTTGGTGCTACGAACGCTGTACCTGCCCAGCTGGCATGTACATATCGTGCCTCATGTCTACCCGACGCACTGAGCTCCGCAGTGGAGCCTGCCCGCGAAGTCGTCACGTTGTTCGATCATAGACCAGGACGGTTCAACTAGTGACCTACAATCATAATTCTCCTGCGATCAGACCCAGTAGACCAAACTCTAAACGCAAATTCAAACCTCGCACACACTACCCGTTGAAACCCCGCTTGCGTGACTTCTCCCTGAATGAAAGCTACCGGACGGATACGGAACGAACAAAACGCAACAAAAATATCAGGACATACCACGCGAGAGCACACCTTGATGGCAACGTTATCAATCGGAACACCTCTTGGTGCACAAGGCCGCAGTCAGCAGAGGTGTGGCAAGTGCTCACCTGTCGTATCCACCGCCTCCACGGCCTCTGTAGCCACCGCCGCCCCCGTATCCGCCGTCACGGCTGCCGCCGTACCCTCCGCTGTCGCGGCCGCCGCCGTATCCGCCGCCGCCTCCACCACCGTAGCCGCCGTCGCGGCCGCCGCGGCCACCGCCGTATCCGCCGCCGCCGCCACCGTAGCCGCCTCCGTCGCGTCCGCCACCGTAGCCGCCTCCGTCGCGACCGCCGCCGTAGCCACCGCCGTCATCGTCACGGCCTCCCCTGTGGCCGCCGCCACCGCCGCCGCCACCGCCGCCGCCGCCGCCGCCGCCACCACCGCCATAGCCACCGTCACGGCCACCGCCGTAGCCACCGTCGCGGCCGCCGCCGTAACCACCGCCGCCGCCGCCATAGCCGTCGCCCCCATCACGGCCTCCGCGGTAGCCACCGCCGCCACCCCGGCCGCCTGGGCAGAGCCACGACCGTCAGCCACAGTGTTCCTTAACGGCCGCCAGAGATGCTGGCCGGCGGTCGGAGCTACCAGCAACATCAAAACAGAAGCCTGAAATGCTTGAAAGCATCAAATGTTGGACAAAGCAACAAAGCAATGACAATCCATTTTTTCCTGGCAAGGAACATTGTGTTGTAAACAAGTTGACAAGTGGACTGGACTGCCTTTCCATGACAGTATGAACAAACCACTTTCATAGATCATATACAAGCCGAAATAGGGCAGCAAGCACATTATGCAAACCACTCAATCCATTTTTCACAAGCCACCAGTAACTACAGTAATGTGTCCTAAATACTCAGCCCATGGGGTGATTGTTGGTACTGGCTGGATGTTGGAGCAAATAGGTAAAGTAGCTTTACACCCAATTCCCACACCAATTCCAAACTAAATCTGGTCTTAGTCACAATTCTCTCCAATACAGTTGGGCAATATTGTCTGCTATCATCACCAAGGGCCTGAGGCAGAATTATGGGGAAATGGTTGGCTGCAGCTTCCAATTAAGAAAAAAATAGCACCCCTGTATGCAGAGAAAGTATTCCAGTATGCATGCAAAGAACATAAAGACAGCCACCCCATGTCTTGTGATCAGATGCAGCAGACAGTGATGACAATGTTGCATGGTCAAGTATGACATCACACATTGCTCAGTCTGCAACATCTGACCAACATTTGATTTCATAAACAAATTATATCATATTAGATTGAACTGGCCATGGCACAATAGTCCCCTCTCATGATTACACATCTGTAGGCAAAGTGAAGACTTGACCACAGCAATTTAGCAGCAAATATTGTTTGGAAATTTAAAAATGGCTTATGAATGCAAACAAACCTGTTCATAACATGTCACTTCAAATGACAGTTAGCAAGCAATGTTATGAGGATAAGCATGTTACATATTATATCAGTGATGCTAGGTTTTGCTTAGAACTGACAGGAACAGAATGGCATACAATGCTCACAGCTGGCTTGACAGGTCATTTCTCATACCAAGTAAAATGAGACATATCACCACATAACAATATATATTTCAATGAAAAGCAAAATACTTGATAATGAAACAAACATTTTTCATTGTGCAGAGGCCTGCCTGCATCATTAAACTGACCTCTGTCATATGAGCCTCTTCTCTCATAACCACCGGTGCTCCCGCCACCACCTGCAATGGTTTGGGTTAAATGCAAACATTGAAATTAACCAGGCAACACATCAAATAACACACTGCTAAAGCCATGGTACTACTACACATTAATGAACATACCAAATCATTTATGACAAACAAAATATGATGCCCTCTTCTGTCATTCCAAGAACCTTTGTTGCTTCCCATAACATACCATATCTGTCACCACTGGACCCATAGCCACCTCCTCCATAGCCACCATTTCCCTGGCTGCCATAGCCACCACCACCATAGCCTGCAAAATCCATGATATTTGGTGTTAATGCAATACCAGGTATACTATTTACTGGTAGAGGCCAACCTATAACACAGGCAAAGCAATACAACACAGGCTCTTGGCACAACACAAAAAATTGGGCCTATCTGGGCCATTCTCCGAGCCTCTTTTTTTCCCTGATCAGCAAAATTAATATTGAAACAACAGCATGTCAGGCACAACAAAGTCAAAACTCAAATATTAGCACACCTGTACAAAGGGGTGTTTTGCATTACATCTTACCTTTAAAATGCAAATTTACAGCATATAACAATGGTAAATATAGTGATATGCAGAACATATTATGCCTGTCAAGCTGTCACACTGCCCAGCTTGCCTGGCATAGGATCATTTGTGGCTGATTTACTAGTTCACATGAGTATTGGAGCTTGCACCCCAAGATATATGAGCTGCCCTGCTTAAGGAATTTGTTCCATGCCCCTGCCCCAAGATCTTGTCAAGATTTTTGATCATTTGCCAAATTTTGAGGACTGGCTCAACTGCATCTACAGCACAGACTGGATAAATACATTCTACTTTTAACATAAGTGGCTTGGCAAAGATCACATCCATAATGCTGCGCACACACAAGTTCAGGTGCTCAGACTTATGCAATATTTCGATGAGGTATAATTCTCAAGTGGTCATTTCAAACCAATAAACACTTGACATTTCAAAATAAGGCAAAACTAGTGAAACTGTCTATCATGAGTAGCATACATGCATCCTCCTGGTTCAATGCAGCAATAATGTGCATGCACTCAACACAGTGGAATCCTTTCAGTAAACTAGGACTTAATTAGATGGCACAATGACCACCTTGACCCCTCAAAGCATACTGTGGATGGCGCAATACTACCAAAAACACATGCTGCTCTGCAAGCTGACCAGCATCATACCAAAAGGCATTTCCAACATGATATAAAGCATTGCTGCCTTTCAAAATCTGATAAATACCCAATGTTAAAAAAGAGCATCATATATCATTTGTCATGTTTAAGGTGGAACATACAATAAATGACCATAAAACAGGTAAATTCATGCTACCTAATTTTAATAATTATGATGGTGAGCTACAGAGCATCTCACACCCTCAACTCGACCCCCCCAGCCCCATTGCTGCATTATCGTTGAATGGCCACAACATGACTGCACATCAAGAACTATAAAAAATGTGAGGGGGCCAAGGAAACAATAATGCACTGAAATGTTTCTTATTGCATGTAGGTAAGCTAATGAAACTGACAGGCCAGAACAGACTAGAACCTAGCCTAACCTAACCAAACTACCTAACCTAGCCTAACCTTATCTAATCCAATATAATATAATCTAATCTAATCCAACCTAACCTCCCCACCCTATCCCATTCAACCCAGTGTCCCATTGGCATCCATGTTCCATGCCATACATATGCACCATATTAAGAAGCTTTCTTTGGCCAGCCATGTTCTCATTTTGCTTTTCATTCGCCGCCCAAAGACATCACATTTGCCCCCCGACGTCGACCAATCTACAAACAGTACAGAAGGCTGCTTGTATACACAAGAAACAAATTTCACTGGATTCCAGTTACCTTGGCCCCATACATTTTTATGGTTCTTGATGACCAGCAACATTGCAACCATGCTGAGCAACGGCACTGGGGCCGCAGCTGCTGTGTTTGCAGCGCTCAGATGTTTGCTGTCGTAGTCATCTAAGTTCCAAGGTAAGAGTTTAGATTACCTGTTTTACAATTATTTACTATATGTTCTGCCTTAAAAATGATGATTGATGTACACTGCCTTTTTTGCATTAGGTACCAATGTATGCCATGACCGATTTTTGTTGTTCATTGGAGTTTTCGGGCGCGTCGACTGCAGTGGTCATTTTGCGCCCATAACTATATATGCCATGACCGAGTACCTTAATGTGTTTGAGGGCAAATTGAATGAGCATATTAACAAAGCAGGTCAGGGTGTACCTTCCTAACATTAGAAAAATCATTGTACACCATTCGTCGTGTTTAAGGCAGGACATATCGTAAATAATCACAAAACAGGTCGATTCATGCTCTTACCTTCAAATTTTTTATAATTATGATGGCGAGCTCCCGAGTGCCGCACACACACAGCACCTGCGACACTGGCGCCGTTGCTGTGCGCGGTCACAACATTACTGCGCATCAAGCAGCATCAAGAACCATAAAAACATACTGGGCCAAGGTAACAAAAATCCATGAAATTTGATCCTCAACACCAATGGGAGGATGGGTTGCAGGAGGATTGGGTGGGGAATGTAAAGTGTAGGGTGGGGAGGGGAAGGGAGGGGAGGTTAGGTTAGGTTAGGTTAGTTGAGTTAGGTGAGGTAAGGTAAGGTTAGATTAGGTTAGGGTAGGGTAGGGTAGGGTAGGGTAGGGTAGGTTAGCTTAGCTTAGGTTCTGGTCTATTCTCAGTTAGGTTAGGTCAAGTCAGGTCAGGTCAGGTCAGGTCTGGTCAGCTTAGCTTAGCTTAGCTTAGGTTCTGGTCTATTCTCAGTTAGGTTGGGTTAGGTTAGGTTAGGTTAGGCTAGTTTTAGATATGTTCTGGACTATTCTGGCCTGTGTGTTTCATAAACGCACCTAAACTCGATAAACTATTTTGATTGCTTTATTATTGTTACCTTGGTCCTGTACATTTTTCATGGTTCTTGATAAGCAGAAATATTGTGCTTGCAACAACGCAGAAACGAGCTTGGGAGTCGATGCAGTGTGGTGTGTGTGGTCCTCGGGAGTTCACTATCATATTTATTAAAATTCCAGGGTAGGAGCATGATTCTACCTGTTTTGAAATTATTTACCATATGTTCTGCACGAGTTCTTGGCAAGCAGAAATATTGTATTTACGCAACGGCAACGCAGAAACGGCGCTGGGGAGTCCAGGCGGTGCTCGGGAGCCCGCCATCAAAGTTATTGAAATTAGAAGGCACGAGCATGATTCTACCTGTTTTGAGATTATTTACGGTATGTGCCGCCTTAAACACAACAAATGGTGTGCAATGATTTTTTCTAACCTTAGGTAGGAAAGTACACCTACACCACAAAGCAGTCATTATATTACATTGGCATTAGCAATGGCAACACTCCATCCTAACATTTTACATACAACAGTTTATTTAGAACGCATAATGTACCAAACATCACACCACCCCCAGCCTCTGCCCCAACTGCATACACAGCTGCGCCGCATTCGCGACCATCTCAATGTATGATGAAACTTAACATAAATATACTTTCAGTACATACAAAATTCAAACGATTCTTCAAAACCGGTAGGTCACGATCACCGTGACACGGTGACACGAGCACGGTCACTACACGAGCTCAAATAAACACGACATCCACTCCGCGAACCACGCAACTGCAACTGTTCCCAATGAAATCACGAGCCTCATTCTTTTCAACATGATCCTACAAGCTCATCGCTGACATCCTGCTCCAACATGAAAAAATTCACGAGTTACTCACCCTCCGACATTCTGGCGATTATTCACGAACCAAGAAATAAAACACCAAACAACGACTAGTCCGGACGCCGGCCCCGGCAAGAACAATGGCGCCCCACTTCGTGTGGATTGAAGAGTGCGCAGCGCTGCTTGCACATAAATATATTTAATGTATTTCGTGTAAGATTCGAGTGAAAGAATGGCATATGGCTTATGAAAATGTCTTTTTTATTAAAATATTTCATTTTTCTCCTAAATTTCATATGTAAGAGGCCTTTTGATAGCTGAATTGGTGTTAGATCTGAAGAGATGTATATACGTAAAGCATGAAAATGGACGATAAGCTCTTTGTTTGAGCAATTCCCAAATACTAGCGTCTAAAATTTACTCAGAGTACTGAAAGCAAAGGTGACTTATCTCTCTATAGTTTGAACGACCTAGGATAAGTTTATGCTGCGACTCAATAACTGCGGTCTGTTTTGTCGTCACCTTAGGCGTTTTTATGCTTATCTAATATCCTATGGGGCACATCAACTGCTCATAAACATAAAAAAGTATCTAATGAAGCATATCCAAGTCACATTTAGTCATAGAATTCTCAATAATACTTAGATGAGGCTGCTCAGACGCCTACGGCAGTAAATCAATTATTGAGTAAAAAGGACACGGCTGTGATGTTAAAACAACGCAGCTGCCCTGATCGCAGCGCATCAGGCTAATTTTACCCGGGGGAGACCGCCGGATATTTACAGCATCAGTAGAGCCTGGCTGTGGTGTAGGCTGTCGCGGGTGGGTAGAGAGTTGCGGGGGTGGACACTCAATATTTAAAACTTCGTGGGATCGTGGGTCGTCCTAAGGGCTTCAATTGCGAGAGTTATTGTTGTTACCGTTGTCTGTTCGAGCCCATGCGCGAACTGGTAAGCCTCTTGAACGCATTGTTCGAGGACATGTCAGGGCCCGTCCTTATATTGTTCTGTGCTACATTACGCTATACACTACAGACACTGGAAAACATGAAACATTGGATAACATGATCATGAAGACCCCTTTGCCCTTTGGTGAAGTCAGAGTGTTGTGTTGGAGTCAGACATGTTTTTCAGAAGGCACAGGGGAGAATGTGGTGAAAATTTTGTGATGACACATGCGAGTCATATGATGCAGTTTGATAAAGACTTAAGCCTAAAGATCAATGACACATAATTCATTGACACCTTGTTATGCAAGACATTTGTTTGTTGTACCTAGTTGGATAGCCAGCTTTAGTTATTGGACAGTCATTCAGATGAATGCAGTCATCCAGGCCAGACAAAGTGCAGGGTTGTCTTGTTTACTTGTTTCCTACCTGCTTACATAGAATCAACTAAACTTCACACCCTCATGAAAATGCAAAGAAAGATCCCACTCAAAGTTCAGCAATAATTGCAAAATCTTTTGAAGAATTAGTCACGGTTGAAGCTTTCTTGCAATTAAGAGAACTTCTGAATTAATGTTTATAACATAAAATTATGCATAAAAGAAAGCATTGTATGTTAATCATAGTTATTACTCAGCATACCCTCCAGCTCTTTTTGACAACTTCTGGTTTGAGTGTCCTCTTAGGTTTTGTCATATTTCAAGAAAATATGGTAGTTAAGTCCAAGTTTAAACTTTGCTTTCTCAGTAAGATCATGACATGATAAATTGATATAACCATCCACAGTTTGTGATAATACTGTGTCTGCCATGAAGCTCTGAAATTCCTCTGACTCATATTTCTAGTAAGACATCTGGCATCACATTCAATCACATCAAGTACATCAAACACCTTTTGTCTTAGTTCATGTTCTGGGCAGTATGCATGTGACCTCTTTTAAAGCTGTCATCTTTTTTATATGCACTTGTGTGAGGGGTCAAATTGATCCCCCAAAGGTTTTTCCAGAATTATTTCCAAATGGCAAGGTGTAGCCAACCCAGATTTTGCTTAGGTGTGGACAATTAAATAGGGGATCCTCTGGCATAAAGCAATTCAGATGCACCTTGTAAGGTCACTGACCTATGGCAGGTCAAAGTTAGGCCATGGTTTTGGTGGAGGCAATTTCTTCGGAATCATTCAATCTGATTCAACAACAGAGTGCTAGATGAAGCCATTCAACTCTGAGATACTTTCTTAGGCAGCACAACAATTGAATAAACAAATTGCACTGACCTAGGGTCAGGTATGAAGGTCAGATCATGGTCAAAACCAACCTGTTTTATTACTCCAGTGCTAACTCTATGGGGTAGTTCCTGGTGCTCATTTCCCATTTATTGATAACAGGAACTGCATAATACACCTTCCATAGACTTGCTAAAGGTCAGAATAGGTCACTGACCCAGAATGACCAAGGTCAACATTATGTTTTTAGGACCATACTGCCTAGCATAATCCATGTCATTTATCCAGATGCAAAACTCAGAGTGGTTTTGTATGATTTTGGTCACCATGACCTTTAAAATGTCAAACAAAGTCACTGACCTTAGATGAGCATGTGACCATTTTGCTGAAAACAGTTGTCTAGGTTGTAGGGACCCTTTGGAGACCAACCTGGAATTTGACCTTGTTTGAACTCATTTGACCTGAAGGTCATGATCTAGGGATCTCAAACTGTGGCCTAAGTGACTTCACATACAGGTCAACACACCCTGTGAATTTGGTGTCTTTAGCTCTCTAATTTCCTGAAATTGCAGGGAGAAGGGCGTCAAATTGACCCCCCCCCCCCCCACCCGAGCGAAGGGTATTCAACCGGCCACCTGGGCGCGTGTTTAGAACATCACAGGCCTTCTACTCCAGCTCATGAATCACCAGTTGTGCCTTGTATGTCGCGGTGCCTAGTGTTGTTTTATGTCAGTATATCTTGGCAGAATATTTTCCTTTATGCATGTTTCATTAAATGTTATCCCCCCCCCCTCCCCCAGTGTCCTATTGCCGCAGTGTGACTGCTGATTCTGCTTAACCAAACATTAGCAGATTAGTTTGTAAGGCTAAGAACTTCTAGTCCAGGTTTCTTGTTGAGTTTAACATATTTCAAGAAAATTAGAAGTTTAAATGGAGGGTACTCAATTTAATGACAATTCCAAGGGAGGAACTAAATGGCTGACTAAACCTGTTGATAGCCCCATGCTGCAAGCCCTTGACACTGATTGATACAAAACATTCACCAATTGATGTTGCTTGGTCGATAAGCTGTCCTTTCGGCAGTATGGTGAATTTTGGTCAGGTCAAAGGTCACCAGAAGTACAAAAAACTGTAAACATAGGTTTGCAGACAACCCCATGCTCCGAGCCTTTGGCACCGACCACCGTGAAACTTTCACCAATCGATGCGCCATAGTCGATATCCTATCCTTTCCAGAACATGATGACCTTGAGTCAGGTCAAAGATCACCAAAAACCACCAAAGCCATCGAAATTGGCGTGACATGACCCTAGGTCACCGTGTTTTGGAAAGGATAGGATATTAACTATAGCGCATTGATTGACGAAGGTTTTTGTGGTGATCGGCGCCTCAGGCTCGGAGCATGGGGTTGTCTGCAGCCAAAAAAGCAATTCAAATAGAATTGCTGCTTTCATAGTGGTTAGCAAGGGTCAAATGAATTTTCTTCCCCAGGGTCGGCTTCTTAGAATAAAAGTTCTGAGCTATTCAGAAGGATATCGGAAGGCTGATATTACTGATCAAATCGTACGCGTCTGATGTAAAATTACCCAAAAATGTGGGATGCCTACCTTTATGCATCCCGGGTTTTCGACTTTGCAGCATCCTTATGATAAAATATTGTTCGTACAAAATCACTCCTATAGTCGTCGATATCTGTACATTCTAGCGTTGCGAGACCTTCTCTCATCGTCGGAAAAATATAAATGGCACACATAACACGTTTGTAAATAGGTGCTTAACGTTTAGAGAGGTTAGGAGACCCCTAGGCCCATCGGACCGCACGATCGCGATCAATTCATGTGTCGACGTTAAGCTGTCGGACACTGGCCCTTATTTCTTTCCTACCAATTTGAACTTAACAAGCTGATCGCCGCTGCTAATGCCGATATTGATGGCGTACACTTCTCCATGATACGGGTGAATTTGCGCCTGGTTACGCTTATGGGTGACGATAACTTATAGCTTGCACCCATGATTACCTCACACTAGCTTAACACGTACTGAACTCTACTGGTAACCAACACTATGATATATATCTGTCTGGCACATGTAGTGCGTTTGCAAATAGGTTTTGAACATCTAGATAGGCCAGCAGACCATTATGCTGACGAGACTCCACAATGTCAACAAATTTCCTCTAAATTAAGTTATAATACTACTAACAAATTATGTCTTGCGCCATTTATATTTCCCCGGCGGCGTGATGAGGCTTCAAAACGTTAAAATGTATGGATATCAAGGAATACATGAGTGAGTTTGAACGAATAAAATTTTATCTTGGCGATGCTGCTAAGTCGAAAGTCCGGAATCTCGAACGGTGCATCAAGAAGTCTGCTATTGCGGAACCAGCGGTCGTTTTAATGAAGCATGCGTACAGGAAAGTATGGTAACAAAATATACCAATATATATATATATATATATATATATATATATATACACGCACACACGCTCGCAGAACAATAAAATACATACGCAAAGCTGTTAACTGTGCCCAGTGTATGCCATACATGACATTTTGTAATTCACGTCCGTCTTGTTAGCACATCCATCTCATCAAGTCAGGGCAGTCATTACCAAACGCCTTTTGTGAGGGAAATGGCAGCTGCATTGTATTGCCAGTGGAAAATTGGGTAGTCCATACATTGATGGCATATTTTTTTGCGATGCTACCATGTGTGCAGCATAAAAGCACATCAATGCTGTACTGGGCGCAAAATGACGATTGAAGTCGACACGCCCGAAAACACCAATGAACAACAACAAAAACAAATCAATGCTGTACCAGTTAAATCAACTGAATCCCCACCCTGTGCTCACTCACAGCAATTTGTATGACTAGTCCGTTTTTTTAAGATGCAGCAGCCATGCTCCGCCACAGACGGGTCGAACCAGATAACTATGTGCTGGAGGACATCACCCGAGATGTTGTAACGACCGATATCAGGATAAAAGCACAGATTCAGGTGGGTTCCTTATTCAGCAGGCTTCTTTTCCAAGTTGTAAATGTCTTAATTGATATTTTAGTGCATGTACACAGCTTGACATGTTGCGTTTTCATTGTCACTACATTAACCCGTCTTTGTGTGTGGAAAATTAGATTTTCCTGTATTGGTTCGATCCCATTCTATGACGCTAGAAAACAGGCTGCTGCGACCCTGTGAGGACGTGTCTGCAGGCGATCCAGAGCTGCGACACGTCGCTGGAGGACCTGGAGCCGCTGAATGAGGCAGTGCGGGCCGATCTGGCAAGCCAGCGCCGGCTGGTGGAGCGCCTGGAGGCGGCCGCCAGTCAGCCGGGCCGCGAGCACGAGCGGGCGCAGCTACAACAGCAGGCCGACACGTACGGCCAGCAGCTGACCGGGTCAGTGCAGCGGCCGCGCCGAGACGGCACCGGCCGTCTCACCGGAGACGAGACACGCATACGACAGCACCGGCCGTCTCCCCGGAGACGAGACACGCATACGACAGTACCGGCCGCCTCACCGGAGACGAGACACGCATACGACAGTACCGGCCGTCTCCCCGGAGACGAGACACGCATACGACAGTACCGGCCGCCTCACCGGAGACGAGACACGCGTACGACAGTACCGGCCGTCTCCCCGGAGACGAGACACGCATACGACAGTACCGGCCGCCTCACCGGAGACGAGACACGCGTACGACAGTACCGGCCGCCTCACCGGAGACGAGACACGCATACGACAGTACCGGCCGACTCACCGGAGACGAGACACGCACACGACAGTACCGGCCGTCTCCCCGGAGACGAGACACGCGTACGACAGTACCGGCCGCCTCACCGGAGACGAGACACGCGTACGATAGTACCGGCCAGTCTCCCCGGAGACGAGACACGCATACGACAGTACCGGCCCGCCTCACCGGAGACGAGACACGCATACGACAGTACCGGCCCGCCTCACCGGAGACGAGACACGCGTACGACAGTTACCGGCCGCCTCACCGGAGACGAGACACGCGTACGACAGTACCGGCCGCCTCACCGGAGACGAGACACGCGTACGACAGTACAGGCCGCCTCACAGGAGACGAGACACGCCACACGACGGTACCGGCCCGCCTCACCGGAGACGAGACACGCATGTGACAGTACCGGCCGCCTCACCGGAGACGAGACACGCATACGACAGTACCGGCCGCCTCACCGGAGACGAGACACGCGTACGACAGTACCGGCCGCCTCACCGGAGACGAGACACGCGTACGACAGTACCGGCCGCCCTCACCGGAGACGACGACACGCGTACGACAGTACAGGCCGCCTCACCGGAGACGAGACACGCGTACGACAGACCGGCCGGCACTCACCGGAGACGAGACACGCGTACGACAGTACCGGCCGACTCACCGGAGACGAGACACGCATACGACAGTACCGGCCGCCTCACCGGAGACGAGACACGCGTACGACAGTACCGGCCGCCTCACCGGAGACGAGACACGCACACGACAGTCTCACCGAGACAGCACCAGCCGCTACACCGAAGACGAGACACGCATACGACAGTCGGCACCGAGACGGTGCCGGCCGCCACACCGGAGACGAGACACGCATACGACAGTCGGCACCGAGACGATGCCGGCCGCATCACCGGAAGCGAGACAGACATGCAACAGTCGGCATCGAGACAGCACCGGCCATGTATACCGGGAGGGATACACGGGTGGTAGACGCTCCGGGCTAGAAATTTCATACCTTGACATCACCGCCCGTCGGTACCCAGACAGTACCAGCGACACTAGTGTGGCCCCTGGTCTGGCTGAGGCCGGAGTAATGTCGGTGTCAGCGAACGCACGCCTGCATGGGATGGCCTTAAGATACCAGTGCCGGTGCCAGGTAGACGGGTGGGACTTGTGGCAAATGCAGCATATGTATTCTGTCGATAACGCAGTACCGTTACCAGGTTTTTACATAATGTTGCATTACCGGCATGAAGCCGCTGGCCAGCGTGACTGACATGACGGGGCTAGATCGATCCCTTACCAGCTTGACCCACGGAAACGGTGTTCAGTAGGCGGCAGGTTACACTACGGGCAGGTCAGCCGCGGGCAACCCCATCTCCGTTTGCCACCGTAACGAGTCATTGTGACTGCAAGATAGTATGGACAAGATGTTATTAGCCGTAACAGGTTCCAAAACTCCAGTCAGCAATAAATAAGTATGTAGTCAGGCGGTTGAAAACCGGGATGTGGTGGGGCCTGGCATGAATGTGTGCATGCGTGGGGAGGGGGGGGGGGGAGCTAAATCATCCCTGCGGTGGCCTGGTGTGGGTCGCCAGTAACGACCCGCAGTGCTGTGACGTCACGCGACTCGGCGCTCTCCGTCTGCAGTCAGCTGCTGCAGCTGCGCCGGGCCAACGTGACTGCGCAGCTCAACATCGAGAAGCGCAACACGACCGAGCTGTTCGGCCGCCGCCCGGACTCGGCGCAGGCGCGGTGAGCGGCGGGCTCTGGCCGGGCCTTTCAGCGCCCTTGGCGAGCGGGCGGGAGGGTAGCAGAGCACGCCCGAGAGCTGTGCACGCACGCTGGCACGCCCGAGAGCTGTGTGACGGGACGAGGCGGGATGGATCGTCCCGACGCAGAGTGCCTTGGTGCACGCTAGCGGAGAGTGGGGCCGGACATCCATATCAAGCCAGTGATGGGACAAAGTCGACGGTGCTCGCGTTATCTTAGCGCGTAGGTCGGACTTGCGGGCGGGCGCGGCGCATTTGTCAACCCACCCGTGACCCCGCGCTGACGGGAGGGGTGGGGCAGCTGCATTCAACCTGGCGCGTGAAAAACATGTCGCGTGACGTCGCATGGAAAGGCACCGATCGCAGGTGCTCCAAATGCTTCCGCCCCGACCTCTTGTCGATGCGCGGGTTTGACGGGTAGACTCGACCTTTATGTAACAACATGGTAGCCGACGCGTAAATACGAAGCCAAGGTCCATTGCAACGCCAGCTAGACCCTGCACGTCCATCGCGTGGCCAACTAAACGTCCCATCAACGACCGTGTGCTGTTGGGTTGCTTTGGAATACTGGTGGGTGTGTGAAGGCGGAAAAGGCCGCATGTGTATCCGGGATAAGCGCCCTGACCTGCACGTCCGTCGCCGAGCGGCGCGTCTCTGGAGACGTATCTGGAGGCGCGCGTGCCGCCAGCCGTCGTGTGCCTGTCTCGAGCCGTAACCGGCGTGCCGCGCGCCGCCGCAGGCAGCGGCTGGGTCGCGAGCAGCTCAGCAAGATGTCGTCCCAGGTCACAGACAACCTCATGTCCATCAACCGCAAGCTGGCCGAGCAGGTGGAGCGCAGCAAGGGCACCCTGGACGTCCTCGGTACGTGTCCCCCCCCCCCCCCCCCGCCACGGCTCGTCGGCCTCAGATCCCTGTCCACGGCGCCGTGAAGGGCGGCGGCGGTCCACAGGGGCCGAGCCGCGGCACGCCAACACCGCCACCGGCTCGGCGACCATGGAACATCCGGAACCATGTCAACGTGCACCACTTTGTGGGAACGCACCTTTGCCTTTTTTGTTGTAGGTAAACGCCTGCGACGTAGCTAGCTGTTCAGAATTAACCGCTTGAGAAATTTGCGAAAACTGGCTATCCCAATTACTTGATGCCTTCGCCGCATTCACAAGCGCAGTCCTTTACGCTCAGAAGTGAACAGGAAGCTGGGGTACCAAAATACGAGTGCACAATATGATCCGCCCGGGCATCAACCCTTAAGGCCACAGCTTTTGGTCTGCTTTTTGGAGAACTTGAGCTCATTTTCCCATTCCGTTCAATTCGTGCGTGGCCACATTGTCCCGTTTTCAGTACGGCGTGTAACGCACGAAGTGATGGTGGCTGAGTGGAGACTGAGACTGAGACTGAGTGGTGGCTGAGGGTGTTTTGTGGAAGCTCTCCATATACAACCTAGATAAGCTCTCGGGAAAGACGAGGCCCTGATCCCTTAACGCGCCTAAGTCATTGCCGCCTGTGGCAGCAGAACGGTAGAAATGTGGTGGGGGTGAAGTGATCTTTACTTTCGTTTTCCTCCATGTCAAATGCTGGCTGCAGTCGGGTGCGCGGGCAGCTGCCTCCACGATCCCGCCGTCTGTGGGCCACGCCTGGCGAGGGTGGGGCCGAGATCCAGTCGTGTTGGTCCCAGGTGTGCGGGGCGTGATCACACCCCGTTCCACCGGGCGGGCCCCTCCATCGGCAACGCCGCCGCGCCGTTTGACCGACCCTGCCGCGTGTCTCCGCTTCAGTGAACTCGTCCGACAAGGTGGGCGAGACGCACGACGAGCTGAAGAACGTCGGCGGCGCGATCGGCCAGTCGCGCAAGCTGCTCAACAAGTACGGCCGGCGCGAGCTCACCGACACCACCCTCTTCATCCTGGCCTTCGCCTTCTTCTTCGCCTGCGTCCTGTACGTGGTGAAGAAGCGACTGTGGGGCTGGTGACGCCACCCCTCTGTGATACGCCATTCCGGCAGGAAGACACCTGCGCATCGTGTTTAAATGGGATATTTATTAAACAATATATCACTAGCACAGACGCATATGTGGGGCCGAGCGGGCGCGGCGCCGCGCGGCAGGGGCGCCACGGCACCGGGGTCTGGGCCCGGGGGATGACGGCCAGCGCTGTCCCCGGTGCGGTGGGCGCCCGCCGCGCCCGGCCCGGCCGCCTGATGAGGTGATACCGTGACGCGGCCACGCGCGGCCCGGCCGCCGCCGCCGCGCCCCGGCGGACAACATGATGAGATACTATGAAGCACACATCCGCAAGCACAGACGAGTCCCGGCGCGGCCGCCGCTCAGTTCTTCTCCTCCTTCTTGGAGGTGGAGCTGTCGTCGCCGCCGGCGCTGCTGCTGCTGCTGCTGCTGCTGTCGGCGTCGCCGCCGCTGCTGCTGCCGCTCTGCCCCTCCCGGTCGGCCGCCATCTGTCGGCGGCGGGGCGGGGTGAGACACGCGCCCGGCGCAACCACACCAGCCAACACTGACAGTGGCACACGCGGGCGGCGGCTTCACGCCCAAGCGCGCTGTCGCGGCGGGAGCCCACTGCTTGGAGTGCGGGGCGCAAGATGTTGTAATGTTGCTGTGTTGTAACGGAAGGCCGAATGTTTTACGGCCACGATGACCAAAAGAGGACATGTGTCAGACCACATATATGACAGCTTTTCAGCGGGGGCGCCTCAGACATGCCATGACTGCGTTGCCAGAATGCTCGACAAGTCTGCTATATGTTCATACAATACATTTATGCATCTTATATAATACATCTATTTCATTAGTCCTTCCTCTCAGAAAAGGCGCACAGGTGTGGGACGGGGGGAAGGGGGAGGCGCCCAACCCAGCAGATCTATGAATCACGCCTATTCATGGCCCGATGAATGCGTGCGGGCCACGCGACTTTTTAGTTCCACCTGCCCGTTCCACTCCCCAATGCATTACAAGTCAAATGCGTACATGAACGATAACCCGCACCAGGCACACGTCTGTCCACGGTGTTATTTAAAAAAAACGGCCGTCGCGCAGCCAACGGGCAGACAGAGGCCTCCGTCCCCGAAGCTCTTCGGCACGTACCTTCTTGTAGGCCATCTCGAACAGCTTGAGTGACTGCTGCTGGAGGTCGGTGACCTGCTTCTTGATGTCCTCGGCCGACATGTCGTCCTTGGCCTCCAGCGCCTTCTTGACGCTGACCAGACTCTCGCGCAGCTTGGAGACCTGGCCACCGTCGGTCAGGCGTCAGTCAGACCCGGCTGATGGCACCGGCCAGGCCGCAGCACACTAGCACACTCACCGCAGCCGCACTACGCTCACTCCTTACACCAAGTGTACAAATATACGTTTACCCTTCGTGAAAACAGACTGAAAAGCAGGCAAATCAAAGTAAAAGTCCAAAGGGACCTTCTTGGAGGTGGCTTCATCCGCACGAAATGAACCGTCGAAATGCGCGTTAACGCCGCCGCGTAATGCCACCCATTTCCCAGACAGCGCCGCAAATGGTTCGCTTATCGGCACAAATGGCCCGCTTGCGTGGCATATAAGATAAACTGTCGTAACCTTGGAATGCTGTGTACGCAAAACCCGTTATTTGGTATTGAACTCACGAAGTCATGGGGTTCGTACAGTGGTATTGCACACGGCGCACGGCACGACTAGCTTTGACTACGTCCACATTTTCTTCGACATCCACTGAAAATTACCCACGCGCCACCGCTGATAATGACCACAATGGTGAATTTCAAGAGCAATGGCTTAGCACTACCGGCGCTGATTTGTCAGCTGCTGAACTAAATGCAAGACATTCCACTCCACGAATGAAACCCACATAATGCCCTTGGGCGCCAGTGCTGCCACCAATAGCGCCCACCAGGCTTACGGAGCGTCAGTGGAGTGAGCGTCAGCTGGTAGGTCAGTAAACCGCCTGTGACTACCGCGTCCACCGGCGCTCCAGCATAGGCCACGGCCGGCCGGCAGCAGTGGTGAGCCGGCTGGTGAGGCTCTGCACAGCTCACCAGCCGCCCGGCCAGTCATTACCGCGCGGGCCGGAGGTCGGCGGAAGCGGCTGGACACACTGCCGCTGCCGACCCGGAACTCACCTCCTCGGCCGGCAGCTGCTCCTTGAACTCGTCCATCTTGCTCTCCGTGTCGTGGATGATCGACTCGGCCTGGTTGATGGCCTCGACGCGCTCCTTGCGCGCCTTGTCCTGCTCGGCGTGCATCTCGGCATTCTTCACCATGTTCTCGATTTCGTCCTTGCTCAGGCCGCCCGACGACTGGATCACGACTGGCGGCGAGGACGGCGTCAGTGGCGGCTGGGGCCGGATGACTCGGCCGGTGGCCGCCGCACCGGCCGCACATCGGCGGAGGTTACAACCGGCCACCGACAGCGAGGTCGCCAGCTGCCAGTCCGCCCGCTGATGTCGCACCGGCCGCGGCCGGGCCGCGCCCGCCGCAGAGGCGCTGCCGGCCGCCGCAAGATGCGCTCACGCAGCTTCTAGACCACGCACGCCGCGAGCCGTGGTAACTGAACAGCGTTCGCGACCCCCATCATGTGATCACAATGCCCACGAGTTTGTTGTTAGGGTACAGGCAGCGCACGTCGTCCCGCAACACGAACAAAGCGCAGCGGCAACGGGGTTAGCCAAAACCGTCGGCGGGCGCCACTCACTCTGCTGCTCCTTGCCGGTGCCCTTGTCGCGCGCGCTGACATGCACGATGCCGTTGGCGTCGATGTCGAACGACACCTCCACCTGGGGCACGCCGCGCGGCGCCGGCGGGATGCCCACCAGCTGGAACTGGCCGAGCAACTTGTTGTCGGCGGCCATCTCACGCTCGCCCTGGAACACCTTGATCTCCACCTGGGTCTGGCCGTCGGCCGCCGTCGAGAACACCTGGCGACACACACGCGGAGGCGGCGTCAGAGCTGGCGCCGCACGACAGGCTGCCTTGTCAGACACTACCGGTAATCATCGCGTCACGCGCCGCCGGCTGGAGTTGTGTGGGGTAAGCAGTATCGGGTATAGTTATTACCGTTGAAAGAGTTCAATTTCGGCCAACGATCTAGTTTGACAATATTTCTTTTATGTGTTTGAGGCACAAGTCTCCTATGATCATACTCTGATTCTACTACCCACGTATATCAGAACTGTCCAGCACATTTGTTGACCCGTGACTATAGGTAAAGTAGTAAGCAGCACAGCCCGCCCTGGTGCCAGCTGTGGCAGCGGGATACCTGAGTCGCGATACGTTTACGATTATTTTCGATTAATGCCCCGTCAATTCCTCACGCCAAATGTTCTCAAACGAGACATGAGCTAACCACAAATTATGCAATCTATCCGTTTGACCACCCAAAACCATCTGTTTGACCATTCATTGACCCAGAAGTACGACATAACGACGAGTACGTTGCTTGTCACGAGGTAAATCAAACGGCATCGGCATGTCGACGAAGGTTACAACCGGCCACCGACAGCGAGGTCGCCAGCTGTCAGTCCGTCCGCTGATGTGGCACCGGCCGCGGCCGGACCGCGCCCGCCAGAGGCGCCGCCGGCCGCCGCAAGGTGCGCTCACGCAACTCCTCGCATCCGACTTTACACCCAGTCCGTGGCAGACAACTGACAGGCGACTAACAGGCGAAACTTCATTAAGGACACTGGGCCTTTTGCACCAATAATAATATTTACAGCGTCATGGAAGACCAAGTGCCACATGCCACGTCAGAGGCAGCTTGCGATGCCGTGTTTTTTGGTCACACAAATCTTCCGCTGGTAATACGCTTCGCACCGGTTGGATGCGGACGTCTCCTACCCGCGGCGTCCAGTCGGCACGTACCTGCGACTTCTTGGTGGGGATTGTGGTGTTGCGCGTGATCAGCTTGGTGAACACGCCGCCCAGCGTCTCGATACCCATGGAGAGGGGCGTCACGTCCAACAGCAGCACGTCCGTCACGTCGCCAGCCAGCACACCGCCCTGGATAGCAGCGCCCATCGCCACCGCCTCGTCCGGGTTCACGGCCTTGCTCGGCGTGCGGCCGAACACCTCCTGCACGGTGGACTGAACCTGCGAAGCGGCACGGCGGCGGCGTCACAAGGCGGCTCCGCAGCACCGCTCGCCCACGCGCGTCCACACACGGCGACGGCGTCACACAGCGGCTGCGCGGCACCGCTCGGCCACACGCGTCCACACGCAGCGGCGGCGGCGTCACAAGGCGCTGCGCAGCACCGCTCGCCCACGCGCGTCCACACACGGTGACATCGTCACACAGCGGCTGCGCGGCACCGCTCGGCCACGCGCGTCCACACGCAGCGGCGGCGGCGTCACAAGGCGGCTGCGCAGCACCGCTCGGCCACGCGCGTCCACACACGGCGGCGCGCGTCAGGCGCGCGGCCGTCACCCATCAGCCGCCATGGGACGCGCCGAGGAAAGTGAACAGATCACAGCGATCAGCGATCACCCCGGCCAGTGCCCGCGCTGTCAGGCTCGGTCGATACCCTCCGGCGTCCTTGGGACACAGCAACACGCGGGCTGACATGCCACGCCAAGCCAGGCTCACGACGCTTAACAGTCCTGGTTAAGACCCCACACAGCGGATGACGCGGAAATGCGGACTGAGTGGAGGGACCCCTGGAGCGTAGAAGACGGGAAGGGCTGGGGCGGACCGGGTGGGCCCGTCCGTTACCATGCACCTGTGTGCCAATGTGCCGTGGCGCCATAACGGCGCGCTGGTCCATACCTTCGGCATGCGGGTCATGCCGCCGACCAGCAGCACCTCGCCGATGTCGCCCTTGGACACCTCGGCGTCCTTCATGGCCTTGGTGCAGGGCGCCACCGTGCGCTTGATCAGGTCGGCGACGATGCTCTCCAGCTTGGAGCGGGACAGCTGCGGCAGGGCACGCGTGTTAGCGCCCGACGCCAGCCAACCTACCCCCGACCACACGGCTAAAAGCCGGAAACACCGCCGAAACACAGCCACAGCCCAGCATCGGTCCATCGCGCTAGAGATAGCAAAGACCTGCGCCGAGACCGCCGGACGTACCTTGATGTTGAGATGCTTCGGGCCCGACGCGTCCATGGTGAGGTACGGCAGGTTGATGTCGGTCTGCGTGGCTGACGACAGCTCGATCTTGGCCTTCTCAGCCGCCTCGCGCACCCGCTGGATGGCCATCTGGTCCTTGGTCAGGTCGATGCCCTGGTCACGCTTGAACTCCTGGACCAGGTGGTTGAGCAGGGCGTTGTCGAAGTCCTCGCCGCCAAGGAACGTGTCGCCGTTCGTCGACTTGACCTCGAACACGCCCTTCTGGATCTCCAGCACCGATATGTCGAACGTGCCGCCGCCCAGGTCGTACACGGCGATGCTGACGACACACGACGGGCGCGGTCAGCGACGGCCAGCGGCGCGATACCGCAGGCGGCAGCGGAGCAATAAACACCGCGGACACGCTGAAACCGGGATTCTAGATCCCACACAGGATACTCGGCAACTCATTCCATAATAAGATACACGCTACTCAGACTAAACATAAGTACTTAGCCCCTCCCAATCCTCGCAGTTTCAGTAAGCTCCACCGTCCGCAGACAATGGATGTACCTTGTCTGAGCTTGTTTATGTTCCCGCCCGATGGCCAGGCCACAGTGACGTCACACCGGGGGCCCACACCGAAGCGCTATAACGCTGAGTGAGCCCCACCGGGCCGGTCCCCTCATTTGGTCGCCGGAAGCGATCAGGTGGAAATAATTTACATTCTGTTCCCACGACGAAGCCTTGAACATGGACTCTATTTCGGGTGAATATTGACTGCAGCTGGATACGGCCAGACGCTGTGTGATTCCCGCAGTTTCAGCTTCCTCAGCTTCGGCTGCACACCGTCATAATAGCGACGGGGTTACCAAAATACGACCCTAACCGTCCCCGCTCGATGACTCGGGTGACATTCGGCGTGAACAGCGCTGAGTTTAATGGTTCATCTGCGCAAAATTTCCTCCCCCGAATTCTCCAGTTCATTAGTTCGTAAGTTTTCCCATTCGATAAAGGTGTGAGTGTTCCATAATTGCATGGCTTTTAAAACTGAAATAGCCATTCTGAAGGCATGATCGGACATGCATCACGCAATACAAACGCCATTCAAATCCTGCCACCCTACAGGCCATGCTGCGTTCATGACCAGGGAGAACAGTATAAGAGACGTTCAAATCTGGCATCCGTAAGCAGGGTTTCCAAATAAAATGTACTTCAACTGGCTCTCACCCAATGTTGAACGAGCAGTGCGAGCCTCGACCGCGAATCACGCTTTGCGCTGTCCAATTCAATAAGTTGGATATGACTGCTAGTTATTATGGCAATAAGACTTATCGTAGAATATCTTACGAATAGCGCCATAACCGAGCATGTGAAAGACAATAAGCATCTTAAACTCACAAATGGATGTGAGAACACCACGAGCGAGGGCCAAAACACGAGCACATAACGATATCTGGCTCAGTCAACACTCTTAGCACCGCTACAGCCATCTCTCGGCGAGCACTCACTTGAAGTACAAGGGGATGCTAGGGAGGCAATTCTGCATGGTTAGTTTAGCAGCACCTCAATGTTATACAAATGTTCCAAAGTAACGTGAAACAGAAAAATGGAGTCTACTTACTACACACAAAAATTGTGTTGTCTAGAGCAATAATGCTTGCGCCCGTATCTTCAAATGCGGAACATTCCCTTTCATTCTAATCATTATTACAAAAAAGATTCAGCATCCCATTCGCTATCCCACTAATCCGTAAACGGCGCACCATCACGCCGACAACACATGATTACGGACCTCACATAATGAAACAAAGCCCCACCCCACCGGCAGGCCCTTCGCCAAGTCACCACACCACCGGCCGGCATTTCCTTCGGTCCCCGGTGTACGCCCCCCCACCCCCCCCCCCCCCCCCCCCCCCTCCACCCGCCTGAACTCACATCTTGTCCTGCGTCTTGTCCATGCCGTAGGCGAGCGCGGCCGCCGTCGGCTCGTTGATGACGCGCAGCACGTTCAGGCCGGAGATCTGGCCGGCGTCCTTGGTGGCCTGCCGCTGCGAGTCGTTGAAGTAGGCCGGCACCGTGACGACGGCGTTCTTGGCCGGCTGGCCCAGGTACGACTCGGCCGTCTCCTTCATCTTGGTGAGCACGAAGGCGCCCACCTGGCTGGGGCTGAACATCTTGCCGTCGGTGCTCTGCACCCACGCGTCGCCGTTGCTCGCTTTCACGATCTTGAAGGACACCATCTGCCTGAGGGCGCAGCGCTGCTGTCATAACGCAGCGCCGCTGGGGGCGGCGACGGTCCGAGACGCCTCTTCCCCGGATTACGGATGGAACGAGGGAACCCAAAACAACAGGCAATGTCTTGCCGTGCACAGATGCATACATCTGGTCAAGCTTAGTTGCCTGTCAGTAACATTTTGGAACCGATGCGAGCATTCCAGTGGTCATGATTCAGAATGGGCCGCACACACATAACACAGTTATGGAGTAAATGACCGATATATGATATTCAGCTTAGTCTTGCTACCTATTCACGTGTAGCAACAGGTGGCGTTCTCCCGAAATACCAGCACATAAAACACAAGTGAGTCTGCAACAAGGCCAGGGCAGAGCATCATGCTGGCTCAAAGATCAGTGTCAGAGACAATACAAAAAAGCGGCCGGCCGATTCTGCACGGGAACACACATGAGTGACTCCAGCACTTACATGTCCTTCTTGACCTCGGCGTCATCGAAGCGCCGTCCGATCAGACGTTTGGTGGCGTAGAATGTGTTGGCCGAGTTGGTGACTGCCTGACGTTTTGCCGGCATGCCCACCAAGCGTTCACCATCTGCCACACCAACCAACATGTCCCGTCACGACACCCCAAAGACACCCTAACCACCCTGACGATGAGAGATAAAATAAACATGCAGGGCTGTTTCAGTCAACTCCATAGCTTATTAAATTGGCACATGGTGGGATGTGACATTTCCATCAGCATAATTCTTAATGAACACAATTTTTCAATTAAAGATCTGCAGACATCGTGTGCATCCCTCCACATACTCCGGCTCCTGGCAAAACGCTCCTTCACTCCCAGACACCGTCTACACTACAATACCAGAACACGGGCAAGCATAACACCACATCGGCTCGGCCATTGCTCTCCTACACCAGCAGACGGTGAGCCTGGCCATCCCCTGGTGCTGACATCGCCGCGGTCCGCCGGCGCGGAGATGGGAGCCGCGGGTGCCGGGCGGACACGACAGCTACAGGCCGCACCGGGCCACTGACCTGGCGTGAAGGCCACCACCGACGGCGTGGTGCGCGCGCCCTCGGCGTTCTCGATCACCTTGGCCTGCTTGCCCTCCATGACGGCCACGCACGAGTTGGTGGTGCCCAGGTCGATGCCGATGACGGCTCCGCGCACGGGGCCGTCCGACCTGCGGAGCCGCGCCATCAGCCCGCGCCACACCGCCATCCGCCCCAACCATGTTCACACTGCACCTTCAGCTATTACATTAGTGCCTTGGAGACCAGGATTGGAGAATGTGTACAACAGATGCAAGCGTGATTAAGCTTTGATCTGAACCCTGTGTCAATGGAAACCCCATAGCAAAAATACAACTATGTAAACAAGCAACGAGCATGTTGATCTCACAGATTTTACAGTTTTAAAATCTGCAGGATTCACACTTACGCTGCTCTGGAGCTTCCATACTGCGGCGTTTTTACAAACAAGCTGGTGAGGGCAGGCTGCCCAATCTGAAACAGATAGTCAAACTAGTTGTTAGTGTATATTCAGAGCCCATTTGGCACCCCTATAACTCCATTGGCAGGATGCCAGAACTCTGAGCACTGCGTAGCACACACACACATCTTCTGACCACTTGCTACCAGACAACCTTCCTGGTCAGTTTCTGCCAGACAACCCTCTGGCCAGTTGCCAATAGATAACCTCCCCAGCCAGTACCACTAGACAACCTCCTGGCCACTTGCCACCAGACAACCTTCTGGTCAGTTTCTGCCAGACAACCCTCTGGCCAGTTGCCAATAGATAACCTCCCTGGCCAGTTGCCACCCAGATGACCTCCTGGCCAGTTGCCAATAGATAACCTCCCTGGCCAGTTACCACCAGATAACCTTCCTGGCCAGTTGCCAATAGATAACCTCCCTAACCAGTTTACCACCAGATAACCTCCCTGGCCAGTTGCCAACCAGATAACCTCCCTGACCAGTTACCACCATATAACCTCCCTGGCCAGTTACCAACCAGATAACCTCCCTGACCAGTTACCCACCATATAACCTCCCTGGCCAGTTACCACCAGATAACCTCCCTGGCCAGTTACCACCAGATAACCTCCCTTGCCAGTTACCACCAGATAACCTCCTGACCAGTTACCACCAATCTCCCTGACCAGTTACCAACCAGATAATCTCCCTGACCAGTTACCACCAGATAACCTCCCTGGCCAGTTACCACCAAGACAATCTCCCTGGCCAGTTACCACCAGATAACCTCCCTGACCAGTTACCACCAGATAACCTCCCTGACCAGTTACCACCAGATAATCTCCCTGACCAGTTACCACCAGATAACCTCCCTGACCAGTTACCACCAGATAATCTCCCTGACCAGTTACCACCAGATAACCTCCCTGGCCAGTTGCCACCAGATAACCTCCCTGACCAGTTGCCACCATATAACCTCCCTTGCCAGTTACCACCAGATAACCTCCCTGGCCAGTTACCACCAGATAACTTCCCTGGCCAGTTACCACCAGATAACCTCCCTGACCAGTTACCACCAGATAACCTCCCCTGACCAGTTACCACCAGATAACCTCCCTGGCCAGTTACCACCAGATAACCTCCCTGACCAGTTACCACCAGATAACCTCCCTGGCCAGTTACCACCAGACAATCTCCCTGGCCAGTTACCACCAGATAACCTCCCTGGCCAGTTACCACCAGATAACCTCCCTGACCAGTTACCACCAGATAACCTCCCTGGCCAGTTACCACCAGATAACCTCCCTTGCCAGTTACCACCAGACAATCTCACTGGCCAGTTACCACCAGATAACCCCCCTGACCAGTTACCACCAGACAATCTCCCTGGCCAGTTGCCACCAGACAATCTCACTGGCCAGTTACCAACAGATAACCTCCCTGACCAGTTACCACCAGATAACCTCCCTGGCCAGTTGCCACCAGATAACCTCCCTGGCCAGTTACCACCAGATAACCTCCCTGGCCAGTTACCACCAGATAACCTCCCTTGCCATTTACCACCAGATAACCTCCCTGACCAGTTACCACCAGATAACCTCCCTGACCAGTTACCACCAGATAACCTCCCTGGCCAGTTGCCACCAGACAATCTCCCTGGCCAGTAGCCACCAGACAATCTCCCTGGCCAGTCACCACCAGATAACCTCCCTGACCAGTTGCCACCAGATAACCTCCCTGACAAGTTACCACCAGACAATCTCCCTGGACAGTTGCCACCAGATAACCTCCCTGGCCAGTCACCACCAGATAACCTCCCTGGCCAGTTACCACCAGATAACCTCCCTTGCCATTTACCACCAGATAACCTCCCTGACCAGTTACCACCAGATAACCTCCCTGACCAGTTACCACCAGATAACCTCCCTGGCCAGTTGCCACCAGACAATCTCCCTGGCCAGTAGCCACCAGACAATCTCCCTGGCCAGTAGCCACCAGACAATCTCCCTGGCCAGTAGCCACCAGACAATCTCCCTGGCCAGTAGCCACCAGACAATCTCCCTGGCCAGTAGCCACCAGACAATCTCCCTGGCCAGTAGCCACCAGACAATCTCCCTGGCCAGTAGCCAACTGCAATGCCAATAGACTACCAGTCCTCTCCCATGCCATCAGCCTTGAACACAAGAACACTCATACTGCTTCCAATGGAATGATGTAATCAGCCTGTATTCTGAACTTTCATGCCAGCCCCTATTGAATCACATATGGTGTTTCAGAAAATTGTCCCTATCACATGACTGTCCAAGACCTCACAGCACCAACAATTGTTAGTTATCTTAAAACTGTGCACACAATGAATCATGTTAATTCCAAATGATCTTATTACATTCTCTCCCAGGCAATGGTATTAGGCCCCTCAATGAGGACAATACTGATGCAGCAAAGATTCACAGGGCAAAACATGGAGCTTGTTATTGATCAGCCATCACCCAGAAGACAAAGATGTTCAATTAGTGTTTCAGACATGATCTGGATGATGAGCAATGCCAATGGGTTGCAATGAATCATGTGTGGCACCAGGTGTGGTTACAACCACTAACAGGACAATGATGGGACATGGGAGGATGGAGTGGAGAGGGGATGCTGGGTCAGATGTTTGGGCAAGAGGAAGTGCACATATTTCTCTAGGAGTACAGATAGGGGTAACAGGAATATGATTAGTACTGCAACTAGGTTTAAACCTTCAGGTAAAGTTAGTTTAAGCTGGTTAGTCAGGTTGGGCTAGGTTTGGTTGGGCTGCCTTAGGTATGCTCAAGAATGGATTGGCAGATACTGATGAATGGCCATTGTCAAGATAGCATTATTAAATTAGAACAGCTTGAGGCATTTTTTAAGATACACATTCTTTCAATCTATCTTTTCTCTCACCATATCTTATTACCCCACATTCATCTTGTTCCATATATTCATCTTGTCTACCTTATTTTGGGATTCCATGCTTTATTTGAAATAACCCCCATGAGCATAATTTTCAAAGGAACAGGCTTACACCTGTTTCTATGACAACAGCCAGTTCTTTATGCAGTAGAGGCCTGCCAAGCAATGCCAGTCACATGAAGGGTCAGTGCAACATGGGTTGTCAATGCTGTTGTTTTGTAAATGTCACATTTTGGAGGATATACTGTTGTGTTGTGTAGTGTGAGACAGTATATCATAACTTTTCATTGTTTTTTCAATGCCAGTGATATGCACAAATTTCAGTAATGTTAAAGTAGCATTCAAAATCTCTTGATTTCTATTTGATATCTTTTTGATCTTAATAAACTCTGAACCACAGGTTTATGACAGGGCCAGGAGGCTCGCCGTGGTCCAAAAATGTTTGAAAGTGCAAACTTGACAGCAATGACTGCATGGCATCAAGGTTATGACACCTACCAAATTGCCTTAGATCATGCAAGGAGAATGTTCCTACAATCATTACCTGTGTGTCATTGGGGCTTTATGACACACTCAGCTGCTGAGGCTATATGTTCTCACCCTGGCAGGAAGGGCAGGCACCACAGGGAATCAAACCCTGTACCTCTGATTTCCCAAATGTGTAGTAGTTAACACAGATGCATTAACCACTACCCTACCTGCACCCATACTATCATTAACTTTGGTTCAATATAGGCAACTGAGGTTCAGAGACATAGACTGCAAGAGGTGGTGAATGTCAAGAGACAGGTGGGCTAGGTTGGATGGCACAAAACATATCTCTATTTCATATAACATCAACTTTACAGCTACAATCTTTGACACACAGCAAACTTGGTTAACAAGTATACTTAAATGCATTATAGCACATCAGATTTTGCTATGGTTCTCATAACAAGCCACACATATCACCATCACAACATTTTAAGACCACAGAATCAGCAGCAACTATGGCCATTTCAGATGGTAGGACAAAGGCCTCTGCACCAATTCTGTTCTGCTAGAGATTGTTGAAGCTTGTCAGCATCTGACCAGTCAGGTCCAGTCTGCCAAAAATCTATCCACTGCACCAGAAACACATGCACTGCAGGTGTGCTTCACCCTAGCACACATGTGAATCACATCCAGGCCAGCCAAAATGTGCCAAATTTGTATGGCACTTTTGGCTGAATTTGCCCACACTCTTTCCAGATGGGACATGGTTTCAGGGGTCACATCACAAATTTCCTTTCAAACATAAAATTGACTGGAACATTTAACTGTCCATGCTCATATGGGTGACCACCACCCTCAATTCTGAGCAGTGTGCACAAACCTCTTTGTTCCTCTCAAGTGACGTTGCTGGTGTGCCAGTCACATCAAGTGTAAAATTTACTTTTTGAGGTCAAGTAAAATGGCCTGGCTGCATTATATAACTATAGCAAAAACTCGCTCGTTTTACATAACATTAACAGTAAACATATTCAACTTACATGACACCAGAGCCTGGAATGGCTGTTTCACATCAAGGCACAAAAATGTCCTAATCTGGCATGTACCCGGCACTTATTGCCGGCAAAACGCAGTTCAGTCAAATCGTTCATGCACGGTCGGTATCAAACATTTACTTACCTGTTTGGTGAACGTGCCAAAATTTGTCATGCATTGGGCGGCAACTGCCCTAGATACACGCCGGGACGTTATTCTGCCTGCCTGCAACATCTTCACAAATTACTATCCGTCCAAACGCCCGTACCCCACGTGCGCCCGACCACCTTCACAAGCGAGAGGATAAAGAATAGTAGTGGTGCATTAACTCTGCTATTCCGTAGCGGAAGGTAGAACGCTTGTCTAAAATGCGTCATCGTCACCAAAATTTTGGTGTATTAATGCAGCATATGATCAAATATAGAGATCTGAACATGTTCCATCATAGAAGTAGGTTCAAAATTTGCTGTTCATTTCAAATGCTAAATATATTATAATAAAAAATACGCATAGAGAAAATTTCTTGTTAGAACCATTCTGTTTGTCCATCTCTACACCAGCAGGTCGGAGAATATGCTAGAACCAAAGGCGTTCTCAGGTGATGTTCTGAGTCGAAAACTTATTGGAACAAAATTATTCCATTAAAGATACAAATAAGGACTGAGTCATGGTTGGACATAGTATTTGGTCTTTTTGTTACTTTAAGCTATTTGTAGTACATTTATACCCATTCATTGCCATTGGTGGTGTAGCATACACGCTTATGATAATGTTACGTCATGCACCCATTTTATAACACTCTGGGAAGGTTCAAGACAATGTCTTCATCAGGATTTTTTTTGCTATGAATAATATGTCCAAAACTGTCATAAGCTGTCACGTAAAGTGCTAATCAAGGTCAATGATTAACGTATCGCGAACGAAATATTCAGAAAATTTTCGCGCCATAAATGCACGCAAACATTGGGAACACGGCGCGTTGTCGGCGTGTAAAAGCGCGGGGGAAAAGAGAAGGCAGAAAGTCGGGGGCGGAGGGCTGCATTAGTTGGTTATACAATGCTCGATATATCTGGACTACGCTGATCTATGCCGGCTCTTCGGGTACGTTTCTGTTGGTGTCCTTTTTGTGCATGTGTAATTGCATGTAGATATGTGACAAATGAACGTGTTTGTGCTTGATTGTGAGTGCTGTTGCTGCTTGATTGTTTTCCTTGGCCAACGCCGAACATTCACATTTAACAGCGGCGGTCAATAATCGGGACCTCAGGAGATGGCTTCAGTTGGAGTCGACACCTAGAGCCATAACATGTGATGCAATGGGATTTGTGGTGCTCATATCTTTCTGATATGGCATACATAATTAATTCCTATGTATTCCCAAGACACTACCTCCATTGCTTGGCCAGCTTGACAAGCCTGATCAACTTTTGAAACAAATGGGGGATCTTTGCTGTTTTTGTGGCACACAAATGGTACACAAGCTGGTATGGCACCTTTCCATGCATGCTGTCATGTTCTCTCCTGTATACCTACTTGAAGTTGGACTTAAAGTTTGTGGCTGGTCCATGCATTTCTCACAACCTGGGTAAGGAGTATGTTGATATCTCATCACCTTGCAGATATACCTGTGGTGTGCTAGGCAGGGTAAGTTCCTGACATGCCAGATGGTTTTAAGGTAGAAAACTTGTTCACCAAGGTGTTAGATCTTTTTTAGCATTTATAATGTTTTGAATACATGTACATTTATAAGGAAAAGTAAGTTTTATTTTGCATTATATTGCACCTGCATATGATGCCATGGGTGGATCCAGAGGCTGGGATATATATGGATCTGAACAGCTCCCCTCCCCTATTTGACAAGTATGGTGCCCTGCCAGGGGCTGCTCTTAGATGTAGTTCCATGATGACATCCCAAAATGGACATAGGCATGGACCTGAACAGGGCAGCCATAGTCATAAGGACCTACAGGTGCCCAAACATGGCAGGGATGGAAAAGGTGCCCAGAGGGATGGAAGGATGTCCATTTTATCGGAAAGCACAACTCAGTACAGAGTTCAGAGAATCAGAGTACAGAATAATTACTTTTAAGAATAAAAGATGCTCCAAGCCTTGGACAAGTTTTTAAGGACTTATTGTGTAGGGCTCTCTTGTCTACATCTTAAGGGCAAGACTGATATACACTAAATGAGTGTCCTAACCACTAAGGGTCACTCCTCATTGGTTCAAAGAGACTAAATGGCATTTGGGCCTTCAGCCATGCATCACATTATGAATTTGCTCCTCAGAATTGCTTGAGTTCCAGCTAGGGGCTTTGTATTATGAGTCCAGTTCTCTACCAGGAAAGCTAGCTGGGAAGAATATGATCCTGATACCATATCACATAAGCTAGTCACTGTTCATCTCCCTTTATATGGTAAGGTAGCTGGGCCAAAGGCACACTGTTCCTTCAAGGTTAAAGGCATTACATGCTGCCATTCCATGGTCTGAAGCCAGGTTAGGCAGCCACTGAAGTTTTTTGTGGCATGTGCAGTGGGAAGAGTGGGTATGGGGTGAGGAGGTGGGGAGGGGGGGGGGGAATGAGACATAACCAGGGGAGGTGGTTTAGACAGGTGAACATTATACCCAAGTATGGGTGCAAACCATGCTTTCTTTTTAACAGTTTAAGACCTTCAACCCATGTACCATTAGCTTCGTCTGATGATGAGCACCATGCTTGATTTTGATTCCTTTCCCTAACTTAGAAATGTGCCAAATGGATGTTAAACTTTTGGGATGTTAGGCTTAACACAGCATAACCAGGGGGAGTGCTTTCACACATTGTAACCAGTGTGTAACCAGGGAAGGTAAAGGGTTGAAAATGCCCAGAAATGTGTAACTACAGATAGTTGCATGGGCTACAGGGTAAATAAGTAAATAATCTGATCTGTACACCAGGAATGGGTTTCTTGTACTTAATACCTATAACTGATGGAAAAGCAACAAAGTAAAAGCTTTTCATGTTTATCTAGGATTTTTGTGAAAGTTGATTGCCTTGGATGTGAACTATTTCCTTTACTGTACATGTGGTTTTGCTGACAATTCATTGCACAAAATTAAAACATCATAGTGTGGGGTCTTACAATGCAATGTCTTGCAGTATCATGGCAGTCTTGCTGGGCCAACCATGCAAGCCGCTATCAATGTCCTTGTTTGGCAGAGATGTGTCATGTAATATGGTGATTTGTTATTGCAGAATAATTTGCCAAGTGTGTATATGTTGTGGTATTTTCAGATACCTCATAAAACAGCACCAACAGCATTGAGGTTTTGTACATGTGTGTAGAGTTTTCACCCCTAGAGTGAAATTGGCATCCCCCTGAACGAGGTGCTGCCGGATCAGGATGTCTGGATCTGCCCCTTCATAATGTGTTGAGCTGCAGCCATCATGACAAGAAATTGGGCTGGGTGCTGTGTTGAATGGTTTTATTATGAAGTGCTGCAGTGCCTATCCCATGTTTCTCTGACATTCAGCCGTGGTGGCCATATTGCAGTTTCCACGCCCCTGGTCATAAATGACGCCAGGGCATGAGTAAATGAAGAAAAGTTTGTGATTTAATGATGTTATGTTTGTAAATCAGACCATTTGGCTAATTATGTTATTTTGTGCAATGTATGGCATTATTGCTCTTTGTTCCTGCAGTATGCAGTCATTTCTGTGCGACAGGCCTGACTTCATGCTGTCCATGGAAAAGACTGCCAAAAGTCGAAAATTTTTGATGCCATATTTGATCGATGTTGCAGATGAACATTAATACAACATGGTGTATAAATATGTCTTTGATCATGTATAATATTTCTGAGAGGCAAGAAAGCACTTCGAAAATATCAAGTTCAATTGTATGGCTAAGTACAAGATCCGCCGACAACCGAACCGAACCTGCGAGAGGCGCCGGTACGGGGCGTAACGCGGGAGGCGTGCTCGCTTCCGTCGATGTCTGTTGTTATACATTATTGATCTACCCCTGTTTGATTGGCTGCTGCAGAGAAACGCTCTGTTTTTTGAGGCTCGCCGTGCATTGTGATCTTGATGTACAGTACCACCCCAGAAGTGCTGCGGGCCTCAGTGAATGTCAGTTGCCTGACTCCACGACACTGTCTGATGGATGACCAACCTGCCCTGATGATATTGTGGAAGGATGTTACAGATGTTTGCATTGAATGTGAGTGATAGCATTGCTGTAAATTTGAGCACCAGTTAATAGTGTTTTGTCTCATGTATTGGAAATGTAAAATGATGAACCCAAATCAGGTGTTAATCTTGGTGTTGTGTGTTAGGTAATATTAGTGCCAACTCAATTTCTCTGTAAACTAACATGATAGATATTCACCCTTTTATCATGATTTTCCATGTAAAGATAAAAGGCCTTTTGTCATAATTTGGAGGCAACCACAAGGTGTGCTTGACTGGCAGATACATTAGGGTTGAACAGGCAAAATACTTTGGTCCAAATGCTCTTTTTGACATTCAAATATACTGGGTGTTGGCCCAGAGTACCACACACACACACAAACCTGCAAACCTCATTTTTCATCCATATTCTTTATGATGCCATTCCTTCAGGTTTTTTCCCTGTGTGTTTTGTACCTGCCTGCTGTGTGTGTTTTGAGCCTGCTTTCTGTGTGTGTTTTGAGCCTGCTTGCTATATGTGTTTTGGGCCTGCTTGCTATATGTGTTTTGGGCCTGCTTGCATGTGTCTTGAGCCTGCTTGCTGTGCATGTTTTGAGCCTGCCTGCTGCATGTGTTTTGGTCTGACTGCTGTGCCTGAGCCTGTTTGCTGCATGTGTTTTGAGCCTGCTTGTTATGTGTGTTTTGTGCCTGCTTGCTGTGCATGTTTTGAGCCTGCCTGCTGCATGTGTTTTGGTCTGCCTGCTGTGGCTGAGCCTGCTTGCTGTGTGTGTTTTGAGCCTGCCTGTTGTGTGGGTTTTGTTCCTGCCTGATGTAATGATTGCTGCAATATGAAGCTGCTGTTCACTCTGTGCTTATGTGCTTGCTGTGTCTGGCACCTGTTCCTTCATGTTGCTGCAGGCAAAACTTAAATTCTGTTTATGAGTAATATTGCAATCTAATTTTAACATGTAAAACAAGTTTTTAGTTTATTGTCAAGCCCATCACTAAATGCAGAGGTTAGGAATGTAACTTAGGAAATCAATTAAAAAATAACTTAGCCTATCATGACAAAAGTACCATTCGTTTGCATCACCAGCTGCCCTGGAAAGTGAAAGAAGGTGAAGGACATTATGTGTTTCTCATTCAGGCCCTGCACTCAATCATTACTTGCTGCTAAGTGTCCATGGCTCATACATTATCCACACATAAAAGATGGGATCTAGTTGTGGATTTTATGCTGAATAGGGAAGGGTGATGGCAATCAAGCAGTCATTTGGCATGTGGTTACAAGCAGGGCATGAATGTTGTCCATGGTTGGTTTCTGTACTTATGTTATACATTTACACAACACATGCAAGCCAGCTTGATGTCATCAATGGCTTGGAATGAGGGGGGTGTCAACAGCTGCAAGAGCGGCCAGTTGTCATGTTAGTGATGGCTAAAGCTAAACTGCTGCCAGGTACCTTTAGCAAGGTGTCATGATTACTTTGGAGAGCTTACTTATGATAATTGGAAGGCAGGGGTCCCTTAAGTGCTAATGTACTGTTAGCATAATGCTTCTCAGTTTACTGCAACTTCATGCCGCAGGAAATATCGGGTGATAATACAGATTGTGTGTCTGATGACAACTTGTACAGCATAACATTTAAGGCATTGCTGTTCATAATGGATTCCACCTGGACTGAACACAAATTGTCAATGTGATTTGTGTTAAATTCTATGCTTGCAACTGACTTCTGAGTCAAACACCAGGTCCACCTAAATTAAGTGCTTTCCTCGCCACATGTTATGTGGAGCATAAAATATTAAGCTTTCAGTTTCTGACAGCATTGTATGTTACATATAATTGAACTTATGCAAGGTAATTTATTTTGTCTTTGTTTTTGCGCATATGCAAACATTACATTCTTTAGACACCATATGGTGGGATGGATACATTTTTGCCACCACTCCTTAACAAAGCCAATGCAATAATTGTCAACATTGCAGAGTCTGATATCAGACTTCCCAGTATTATGGAAGTTGTTCAGTGCATTAGTGAGGAACATTGTTCACATAGATAACACAGAAGTATTAGCCTTTAGTTATGGGCTAGTGCATATAGGTATACAATACAATATAGAGATAGTTATGTTATATCTTCATTCTCCTGGTTTTCTGAGAAACAAAACTAATACTGCTGTCTTGTCTTCTCACTACTATGTGGAATGAAATTCCATGCCCTCATTATGGCACAACCTTGATATGACTGTGCATTGTATGTGTTGAGCTGTTGCTGTTGCTGTACACAACAGTGATTTGAACAGACAACAATGAAATCTGTGTCTTGGGTGTTCATGTATTTCATGGTGCAATTTTTCCCCCGACCAGGGCTCACAGGATGAAAAACGCCAAGTCATCCAAGGTCCTCAGCCCCATAGCTGAGTCCAAAGGCAGCACGAACGCCCCGTCTGCAAGGGCCTCGAAGCGCCGAGGAGCAGCGGCCAGGCCCCCGGCTGCCAAGGGGTCGCCGGAGCCGGAGACCGTGTGGTCGCCGGGGTCCAGCCCGGGCGGAGCGGCGCCGGCCATGGCCGCCGAGTCGGACGACAGCGACAAGGAGAACGGTCACGCCACGCCGCCCCAGCCGGACGTGGGCGGCGGGGGCGGGGACCCGGCGCCGGCGCGGTCCGCTGACGGGCCGCCGGCCAACAGTCCTGCCGACGGCCAGCCGGCCCGCGACCGAGGCCGTGTCGCCCGCCAACCGACGAGGCGGCGTAGTCACACGCGATCGAGTCGAGGCCAGCCGCGACCGACGAGCTGGTGTCACCCGCGGCCGACGAGGCGGTTCCCGGCCGCGACCGAGGCGGTTGTCACCCGAGACCGACGAGGGCGGTCCCGACCGCGACCGAGGCGGTGTCACCCGGGACCGACGAGGCGGAGTCGGCCGTGACCGAGGCGTGTCACCCGAGACCGACGAGGCGGTCCCGACCGCGACCGAGGCGGTGTCACCGGGACCGACGAGGTGGAGTCGGCCGCGACTGAGGCGGCGTCACCCGCGGCCGATGCCGTGTCGGCGTGGGACGGGGTGGGGACAGGGACAGTCGAGCAGTCGCCGCCACCGGTGGCCGGATGACGTGCCGCTCCAGATCTCAGAGGTGCGCGGCATCGCCGCCCGCCTGCTGACCCGCCTGCCACCGCCGCGGGCAGCGGGCGCCGACGACGCGCCGCCGGCGGGCACGGTTCGTCTCAGCCGGTCAGCAAGTACGGCCGCGTGCGGCGCGCGCGCTCCGACGCCGCCTACGTGAGCACGGACCGCACGTACGCGGCGCTAACGGGACAGGACCTGGCGCCGGCTCGGCTGACGGTCGGCTCGGCACGCCGCCGCGCCGCCGAGCTGCGCCGGGAGCTGGCCGCGCCGGGGGGCGAGGCGAGCGCGGCGCAGCCGGTCGACCAGACGCCGGGCTCGGCCGGCACCAAAGAGAAGGCAGCCAAGAGTCAGGTGGGTGCGTTGGGTGTGAGCTGGGCTATGGCGCGCGCGCGATTGTTAGTCGGGGTTTCCATTTCCTGGTTGTTCACCACTAGTGGATATGTTCCGCGGTTGTCCGTGGTTGTGGTGACTTGTAAACAAGTACGGGGTGGGGATCGATCGCCGACATTGCGTTACGAGTAACGTTGTAGATGGGCCTGAATGCATGCGCCTGTTCCTTTAGCGGACATGGTACTGCTTGGGGGAGCAAATGCGACCGGCTAAAATTCACTAAAAACGGCCAGTTTGGATAGCCGCGCCCGTCCTTGCCGCCGCTTTACGCTGTTGGTCAATCCGGCTCACGTAGCCGCCGAGCTCCGTGGAAGACGTGCGCAACTGGTGGCCCGTTTGGACGTGAGCGTAGCGCGTGCGTCTGTGAATGCCGCTGGTGGTGGCGCTCCTGACGGGCGCCGTCTGGTGGCAGGCGTCACCGAAGCCGGCCCCGGCGCCCGCGCCGCGCCCGACTCCAGCGTGCCTTGCGACTGGCTGGTGGGGGACGTGGTGTGGGCACGGGTCAGCGGGTACCCGCTCTGGCCGGCCATCGTCCTCTACGACACCGGGGAGGGACAGTTCACCAAGGTCGTCAGGAAGGCCGGTAAGTCGGCCCGTGCTGCGAGTCGGCGAGAGGTGCCTGTCGCCGTGCGCTGATAATTGCTTGGATTTGAAACCGGCGCAGCTCGAAGCGGAGCCCTATTGATCGCTGATCTCAGTTCAAGCGTCCCTTCGCAAGTGTGAACTGAGAAATTAAAGGCAGCATTTAGAAAGATGCGAATTATCACTTCGTCATTATACCTACTGAACAGTGGGCGCGCCTGTCGATCTGTATGAGGTTCTCCAGTTCTCTTTCGTTCTGATCTTTATGACGTTCTCCAGTTCTCTCTCGTTGTGATCTGCGTAACACCCCGTTAGGTTCCCCGACCTAAGTACCGACCGCGGTGACCGTGTGTGTCCTGCGTGGTCCCAACTGCACCCATGCCTGCACTGTAGCCTTCTGTCGTTCCCCGCCGTCGACAGGCTGCAAGACGTCGCGGCGGTACCACGTGCGCTTCTTCGGCGACCTGTGCCGCGGCTGGATCCACCCGAACAACCTGCGCCCGTTCGAGGGGCGCGCCCAGTTCGACCAGCTGGCGCGCGCCGAGCAGGCCGGGCCGCGGCGCGTCGCCGGCAAGGAGAGCAGCCAGTTCCGTCTCTCCAGCCGCAACCTGCCCAAGTGGCTGACGGGCGTGGCCGAGGCCACGGCCAGCGCCGCGCTGGAGAGGTACGGCGCCGCCCGGCCGCGGCGGTCCGGCGTCAGCTCGGCAGCCAGGCGGGATGACTCGGACCGCCGGCCGCGTGGGCTGGCACGGGCGGAGACTGTGCTCAGATTAGTTCGGGGTGGAACGTTCTGTTCAGCATGGATAGAGCTACGGTTGAAGGGAGTGTTCCACATTATGTGAGATTTTGAACCGGAATAACTGTCCTGAAGACCTTTCGGTGCAGTTCACGGTCCTGGCCTTCTGAAGATCTAAACCACTGTAGTTTCGGAGCTACACGCCCGCGAAGATGGGGAGAGTATTCAAAGCCACCTTGGCATTCATGACGTCCATAATAACAGCATTCAAATGCTACCATTTCATTAGCCATGCGACGATGAAGGCCGAGGAAAATATGATGGTCGAGTCGCTGATATCTTAAGCGTTCGTGAGTACGATTTCCAGGTACAACCGCCGTCCAGTGGCTTTCAATCAATGTTGTGCAAGGTACGATGACGTAATCAGACAGTGACGTTTCGAGGATGGTAGTTACCAAACAGAGAAGTTTGTTTTCTCAAGCAGTCTTTTCTTCTTAAAAGTATACCACTAGTTAGAGTGAGCTTGTTTCATCATATCTGATGGTTGCTTCATTATCTTCAAATGTGAAACATTTCTTTTGATGAGATTAGAGCTGCAGTTATTGTTTCATTGTACATTTTCTCGCCAAAGATTGCCCCAAGCTGTGATCGCTACAGCTTGAATGTCGAGGCGTCATGATGGCTTACACAGCAGCCCTGTTTTCTACAGGTACGAGCGCGTAAAGCCGTTCGTGGCGCAGGACGAGCCGGGGGCCCCCGCTGCGGAGCCAGAGCCGGCTCCTGCACCCAAGCCAAAGCCGCGCCGGCGCAAATCCGCGCCCGCCTCGGTACAGGCGTCCGCCACCCCCGCTCCCTCCGCCACCGTCACCGCCTCCTCTCCCGCCCCTGGCACCGCCCCCAGCACCGCCCCCTCCCCGGCGCCGGCCGCCGCAGACGCCGACGGCCGACCAGGAGACGTGGTTCAGCCACTTCTGCGAGAGCGAGCGCGAGGCGGTGGCGGGCGCGCCGGCCCGAGCTGGGCGAGGTGGCTGTGATCGAGCTGCTGGCCGCCCGCTGGGAGGCCATGGAGGAGCGGGAGCGCGCGCGGTACGCGGCCGGGCCGCGACCCGCCGGCCGGCGCGCGCCGCCGCCGCCGCCGACGGCCGGGAAAGCTCTGACGCCGACGCTGACTCCGAGACCAGCGGCCGCGTGCGTGTCCGCCGCGTGGAGAAGGTCTGCCAGGTGAGATGGCGAGATGGTTGTGAGGTGGGGGGATGGGGGAAGTGCTGTTGTAAGTGGGGGGGGGGGGGGGTAATGGTCTGTGGGTTGAGCTGGTCGGTTGTACTCGATCTGTCTGTTGAGATAGTCGAATGGAGGGACTACGTCTGGCTAGATAGTTGGGAGTGGATGGTCTGTCGGGCCATTGGGCCAGTTATCAGGTGGAGAGGGTATATTCCAGGTGGAGGTATGAAGTGAAGAGGTCCGTCAGATGAGTTAGGTGAATACAAAATTGAACCAAGTGAGCTTGCAGGTTGGATGCCATCTGTGGGATTCCAGCTAGCTCTAATAGGTCTAGTGTTGTGCTAGTTATGTTGGATGCTCGCCAGCTCTTACAACTGTTTTTTTTAATCTTATTGGCAGGCTAGCCTTGTCATCACTAAATTGCACAGCGCATCATTATTGCTGTACTCATATGTTGGAAACCCCATCATTGACTGGACGCGCCAGCGCTGTCATCTCCGCTTCCTCCCACCATCTCTCCTGCGGCCTGCGTGCCCGCTGGGTCGGCGGCGACGCCCGCCGCTCCCCTCACGCCCCGCCCCTCGGTCGTCAGCTCTGCGAGGAGAACGGCGAGCTGGGCCGAGAGCTGGTGCGCTGCGCCGGCTCGTGCGGCGGCGCCTTCCACCTGCGCTGCGCCGGCGCGCCGGCCTCGGCCGTGCGCTTCTCGTGCGCCGAGTGCCTGTCGGGCCAGCACGTCTGTTTCGTCTGCAAGTCGGCGTCCGGCGCGCTGGAGCGCTGCGGCTGGACGGGCCGCTGCGGCAAGCACTTCCACCGGGCGTGCCTGCGCCTGTTCCCGCAGGCCACCAGCTCCGAGCACAGGCTCGTGTGTCCGCTGCACGTGTGTCACACGTGCGTCAGCGAGGACCCGCGCCGGCTGGCCGCCCAGTTCAAGCCGACCGACAAGCTGTTCAAGTGCGTCCGCTGCCCGACCGCCTACCACGCCAGTGAGTGCTGGTGCCGGCCCTACCGTGGCGAGGGTGCCCAGGTGCGTCCGCCTACCGGGAGGTGTGTGTCACGCGTGGGGGTGTGGGAGAGAGATTGTGTGTCGTATCTGTCCCGTCCGCCCTTGTCCGGTCCGAGTTGTGACGGATCCTTTGATGTACCTTGGTGGGGGTCGTGAGCTTGGGCTATAGTTGTAGCCGTGCCGGCACGGACTATAGTTGAGCGTGCCGGTACGGACTCCACAGCACGGGCGCCACGGACTCCACGGCACGGGCCCCACGGACTCCACTGACTCAACTCCACAGTTTGCGTCCGCAGTGAAACCCGCTGTTGGACACGTGCGCAGGTGCTCGGTGTCCTCCGTTACCAGCTGGCCAGGCAGTCAGCCCGTGGTCATTGCGGTTCTCGTCACCTGTGCCCACACGTGGTCGGCTGTTGACGAGCCCGCCACGCTGCTCAGGCGAACGCTGCGTGGCGGCCGGGACGGAAATCTTGAACGCGTCACAGATCATCTGCACCAAACACTACGGCCGCGACACCAAGAGGGGCTCCTCTTCTCACCACATCAACACCACCTGGTGCTTCATCTGCTCCAAAGGTGCGGATCCGGCTTGCTGAGGACAGACGCTGTCCTCCGCTGTTGACTAATGACCGCTGGTGACTAATGACACTGTACAGACAACTGGTGTGTTATACAACTGTTGAGAAACCTCCTGTATGCGGAGCACTTTTATTTATTTGATTTAACATTAGCGGTTGGGTCCTGTGTATGTAGAGCTATGCATGCTTATCTATGCTGAGCTATGAAAAATTCTGGTATGTTAAGTTGGGAAAATTACTGTGCGCCGCTGCGATGGAGCGGGTGGGAAAACACCCGTCCGCCCGTGAGTAAACTGCGTCTGGAAGAGTGCTCAAGTGTCTGCGAAGTTCAGCGTCGCATGTCGGTCGAGCAGCTCCGCTTAGTCTCGACGGGATCATCGGCCGGGGTGTACCCCTTGTGAGGGTGTACCGCTCGGGCCGCGGGCTGACCGGCAGTCTGCGCGCCGTCCGCCAGGCGGCAGCCTGATCTGCTGCGAGAGCTGCCCGGCCTCGTTCCACGTGGAGTGCATCAACGCGCCGATCCCGGACGGCGGCTACGTGTGCGAGGAGTGCGAGAGCGGCCGCTTCCCGCTCTACGGCGAGGTGGTCTGGGTCAAGCTGGGCTTCTACAGGTCAGTGGCGGCCGCCGCCAGCCGCCGCCCGGTGACCCGGACGCTAGCCGGCCGGGCGGGCTGGGCTTTCGGCCAGGACTGCCCGAGCTGTGAGGGACCTCCGCAGGGAGGGGGCGGGGGGGGGGGGGGGGCTATTATGACGGGCGTTCAGTGAGAACTCGTGTGGGACATCACTGATGGCAATGGCGCAAATGGGCGCCAAGTGATCTCAGAAGTTGGCGCGCTCTGATACACCAATCGTCGCTGTCATCAGCAGTGGCACATAGCGGATGAAAGCTATCGCGTAACACAGGGCGGTTAATGTTTGGAGAAACCACGTCCTATCTGGCCATCTTATCATTTAGCTATTTGTCCGGTATTCGTATACATCAGCCGGCACTCCGTTCGCATCGTTAAGACGCCCCACTCCCCACTATCTAGACGGCTCTGATAGTGACCGCTGAGCCTCATCTCATGTGTGCAATAGAAGAATAGTCTGAGCTGCTGATCGTCTGCAACACTGCGGCCGCGCGGCCGCTTGCCTCAGGTGGTGGCCGGCGATGGTGGTGCCACCCAACGACATTCCGGAGAACCTTCTGCAGATGGAGTACAGCACGGGCCAGTTTGTCGTGCGCTTCTTCGGCTCCAAGGACTACACCTGGATGCGGCGCGGTCGCGTCTTTCTCTTCGAGGAGGGGGTGAGGGAGGCTAGTGTGTACCAGGCACCGTTAGTGTGTACCATCAACCGACGACTGGTATAACATACCAGTCGTCGCGCTCTCCTCGGACGGCGACGCCACGGTCAGCGCGTATGCGTTGCGCGTCTGCCAGCACGGGGGTCATTCGTGCGATGCCTTTTGGTTCCATTCAGTTTTGACATTCAGCTTTGACAGACATGCTGACAGTCAGTTCCATTCAGTTTGACAGCTGAATGGATTAGCGGACGTCAGGCCGCGGATTCCATTGGTTCCATTGGCTCCATTCAGTTTGACGTGGCTGAATGTGTCGGCGGGCGTCAGGCGGTGCCGCGGTCGGAGAGGGCGTGGGAACAGAGCCCAGCGTCGCGGAGAGCACATGATCGGGGTCGTGCGGCGCAGCGGCGCCCGCAGTCGGGCCCGAGGCGCCTGACGCGGCGCGGGCCTGTCGGCAGGACTCGGTGGGCCGAGTGCACGCCACCGGCTCTAAGACGCTGACCTCGTCGTACAAGAAGGCCATGCAGGAGGCCACCGTCTACTACAAGCAGTACAAAGAGAGCCGCGAGAAGCAAAGGGAGGCGACCGACATTCTGGTCAGTGGGCGGGCGGCGGCACCGGTCGCGGGCGCGGCCCGGGCTCATGCGAGCGCCGCGGCGGGGGTCGGGATTGCGATGTGAACAGACGTTTGGAGCCGGGGAGATGGAATCGGGCAGGCTCGGGGCTGGGGGAAGGGGGGGGGGGGGGGCGACGTAATGCGTGTCATTTGCCTGCCATTCCAAGGGAATGTTCATGAGTGGTGTCGCCCTCTCTTCACTTGTCTCACCTCACGGCAGCAAGCTCTGCCAAGCAGGCGTTTTGAGGATTGTCACTTTCACCCGCGATGTTGGAATCGAGCGTCAAGTGTCACGCATCGGAGTCGCCAGAATACGTATACTATATTCCGATACGGCGCTTTCGCTCAAAATATGCATGCTATCAAAATGGTATCGGGGTGAATAAGCCGATCAAAAAGAGCTGAACGAAGATGGTTCAACATCTGGGCCTTCCCATCACTTCCACGGTAATGGTTACACGTGGTGTGACCGATCCGGTGAAGCTCCTGAGCCCTGGCCCTGCGCCGCGGCTGGGTCGCGATGATGCGTCTCCCGTGCCCGCCTATCCCACACCCGCCTAGACGCCTCGCTCCGGCCCGCAGCGGCCGCCGGCCTACATCCGGATCAAGAGCAACAAACCGGTGGGCGGCGTGAAGCTGTCGAGCGGCGATGTCAGTCAGGCGACGGCCTGCGGCTGCCGGCCCACCGACGAGAGGCCTGCGGCCCCGACTCGTCCCTGCCTCAACAGGTGGCAAGCGGCCACGGTCCGCCAGCCGCCAGCCGCCAGCCGCCAGCCAGGGCACGCGACGGCCGCGGCAGGGCGGCGCAGCCGCTGTGGACGGGTGGGGTACACTGTCGGGCGCTGGGGGAGAGGTGTGGCGTGCGGCTCAGACGTGAGGGGACTCAGATGAGTGATGTCATGATGCCAAATGGCCTCTGCAGCGCCGGTGTGCTTCTCAGCTGGTGCTGGCCGTCCTCACAGGTCTGCCGGCGGCCGCGCGGGCCTTCCCACTTCCCTCGCCTCTCGCCGGGCCATCCCCTGCCCCTCGCTTCTCGCCGGGTCCTCCCCCGTCCCTCGCCTCTCGCCGGGCCATCCCCTGCCCTTCGCTTCTCGCCGGGTCCTCCCCTGCCCCTCGCCGCCCGCCGGGCCCGTCGACTGACGGCGCGCCATCGCCGGCAGGATGCTCATGTTCGAGTGCCACCCGGAGCTGTGTCGAGCCGGCGAGCGCGCTGCCTGAACCAGCGCTTCCAGAAGCGACTCTACCCGCCGCTGCAGGTGGTGCGCACCAGCGACAAGGGCTGGGGTCTGGCCGCGCTCGTCGACCTGAAAAAAGGTCCGTCGCCAGCGGCCTGTGCGGGCGTCACGTGCCGATTTGTCAGCGCCGCGTGCTGGCCGTCGGCGGCGCCGTACGTTTATTGCAGCCGCCGTCAGAAGCCATTAGCGATGCATGCGGGCCGTCTGGCTAGTGTCAGGCAGGCGTGCTTGGAGGGTTGAGTCATTGCACTGCGCGATGTCTGTATTCCGCGGATCTCTGCAACCTCTTCATCGCTGTAGCCTTGGATGTGTCTCATGCCGCGATCCAGTCGAAGTTTGGAGATGGCTGTCTTGCTCAATTTGGGTTCAGATGCGGTAGCCAAGATCAACTGCACGTCCCCGGTTCAGGCTTTCTTTGCATGTTTGACCTGGGGTACTTTAATTTAAGTAGGCGGTTCTCGTGCACGTGGTGTCAGTTAAGAAGAAGCAAAAAAAACGAAAACGTTGCCGTGGGTACGCTAACAATAGCTGGGTCAGTTAGGTTACCCTGTGGTCACATTTTCCGTTATACTGTGATCTCGTGGCCCTACCATGCTACCATACCATAGTAGGGTGGCTAGGCGGCCGGGCGGGGAGGGAGCGGGGGGGAGGGGGGGACGGCATGGCGTGGTGGCTGCAGTGTCTGAGCAGTGGACCAGTGACGAGTAGTGCCCGGAGCGGCGCGCGTCACGTGCGACCCGGCTGGCCCCAGGCGACTTCGTGATCGAGTACGTGGGAGAGGTGATCAGCGAAGCGGAGCTGCAGCGGCGCGTCGAGTACAAACACCGCATGCAGGACGACAACTACTACTTCCTCACCGTCGACAAGGACCGCATCTTGGATGCCGGGCCCAAGGGCAATCAAGCCAGGTGGGCGGCCGGGCGGGGCGGCTCTGCAGGGATGACGCTGCCCCTGGCTGGGACGGCGACGGACGGCTTGCCCGCTGGGTCAGGCTGGAGTGCTGGGAGGCCTTGGTCGCCGGTGTACGGCTGGGACGGCTGCGGACGGCTTACCCACTGGGTCAGGGTGGAGCGCTGGGAGCCCTGGTCGCCGGTGTCGGACTGGGACGGCGGCGGACGGCTTACCCGCTGGGTCAGGGTGGAGTGCTGGGAGGCCTTGGTCGCCGGTGTACGGCTGGGACGGCGACAGACGGCTTACCCGCTGGGTCAGAGTGGAGTGCTGGGAGGCCTTGGTCGCCGGTGTACGGCTGGGACGGCTGCGGACGGCTTACCCACTGGGTCAGGGTGGAGCGCTGGGAGCCCTGGTCGCCGGTGTCGGACTGGGACGGCGGCGGACGGCTTACCCGCTGGGTCAGGGTGGAGTGCTGGGAGGCCTTGGTCGCCGGTGTACGACTGGGACGGCGACAGACGGCCGACCCGCTGGGTCAGGGTGGAGTGCTGGGAGCCCTGGTCGCCGGTGTCGGACTGGGACGGCGGCGGACGGCTTACCCGCTGGGTCAGGGTGGAGTGCATGGAGCCCTGGTCGCCGGTGTCGGACTGGGACGGCGGCGGACGGCCGACCCGCTGGGTCAGGGTGGAGTGCTGGGAGGCCTTGGCCGCCGGTGTCAAGCTCCTGTAGTACGGTATTCTGCTGCCGCGCCAGCGACTGAGTGGTAGTGGCGCCACGTGGTGGTCGGTGGTGACCCAGGGGTTTGGTTCGGTTGGGGGAGGGGGATGTAGGGAAGGACAGTAAGTGCTATTTTTTATTTTATTGCATTAACTGTTGCATTACATACATTACATTACATACATATATTGCATTAACTGTTAATTTGAGATGATTTTAATGCACTCTAAAAATGTTATCTTCTGATTGCCCGCTTCCATGGCTGTCTTGCTGACGCCCGTCTCCCTCCCTCCCCACCGGTTGGGCAGGTTCATGAACCACTGCTGCCAGCCCAACTGCGAGACGCAGAAGTGGACCATAAACTCTGAGACTCGGGTGGGGCTGTTCGCCATCACCGACATCCCGGCCGGCGAGGAGCTCAACTTCAACTACAACTTCGACTGCGTCGGCACGGCCAAGAAGCGGTGCATGTGCGGAGCGCCCAACTGCAGCGGCTACCTGGGAGACAAGGCGCTCAAGGTGAGCCCGACCGGGGGGAGAGGAGAGGAAAGGAGAGGAGAGGAGAGGAGAGGAGAGGAGAGGAGAGGAGAGGAGAGAGGAGAGGAGGAGAGGAGGAGGAGAGGAGAGGAGAGGAGAGGAGAGGAGAGGAGAGGAGAGGGGAGGAGAGGAGAGGAGAGGAGAGGAGAGGAAGAGGAGAGGAGAGGAGAGGATGGGAGGAGAGGAGAGGAGAGGAGAGGAGGAGGAGAGGAGAGGAGAGGAGAGGAGAGGAGAGGAGAGGAGAGGAGGAGATGGGAAAGGAGATGGGAGAGGAGATGGGAGAGGAGAGGAGGTAGTGGTGCGGTCGGCCGAGGCGGGGCAGAGACAGTGTTGGGATTTCGGCACTTTGTCGGGGAATCCGGTCGGGCCGGATCTCCCCAGTGGGGCGGGAGACGTCCCAGGGAGTGTTCCCCGACGGAGGTACCCCGCATAGCCGGCCACGCTATGAGCTTTGCCGACGCCGAAAGCGAACATGACAGACAAAGAAGAAGTGCGAAGCCCATGCTGATGGGTAGTTTCTCCACTCATGGGGCGAATGGAGAGGAAGGATTACAAACCGTGAGATGTGGGACGAGAAGCGCGTTTGGATCACTGCATGTACGTTACGGCCGGTGTTTTGTGCATTGGTGTACATGACTTAAGATTTCGCGTCAGATTTTACAAAGAAACATTGGGTATTTCGGTCCCATGAGAGCAGTCGATCGTCTAGACCCCACGACATCGGATGGGAGGCGAACGAAAGGGAAATACATCCAAATTTGATGAATTCAAGTGTTACGTTGCCAAGCAATGAAGGTTTTGTTCGTTTTCTACCGGGAAATGGACTACTGAAGAATTGCATGGATGCGTGTTGCAGGCTTTTTAAATCCAGTGGTGTTACATTTTGTATCCGAATGGGTGCGCATCTGGATAGACTAGGAAAGTTTGTCAGAACTGAGGTTTTGCAGCATTCTGGGATTCAAATTCTAGCATATGGGACTTTGGTTTCCGTGTGGACTCAAAATTGAAATATTTCTGAATGAATTAGATATCGTTCAGTCCTGCATTTAAGCCGTGAATAACACCGATATACCAATGAAGCAAAGGACCTGTGACCTAGTTCGACGGCGAACCAGTCTATGCCCATCTCTTCCCGCTGTTGGCCTATGGAAGACAATATTGGCCTAGAAAGTATTTAAAATACGGATCTCTACGTTTGCTTGATATCCGTGATGATGCCGATTTTTACTTGTTCACGCAAGTTAAAACCTGCCTTTCAGCCTATGAATCTTTGCTGTTAAGATTTAATTATGGGCGCTTATGCCATATATGGGCGCCATATGACTGCGCGGTCGAGGCGCCCTTAAGCCCCAATACTACTACTACTAAGATTTAATTTTTTAGCTTGATATATTTAAACTCGATTCCAATCCTACAAATCCGAATCCTCAAGTGTCGCAGGGGTGTTGCATGGATGTTTAGGTGCCTTGCACTTCAAAATTTGGAGTTGTGGGTTGGCCCACACCAGAGTGGATGGACATTTTTTCGCAACAGTTGAGGTCACGTTTTGCCTTGCGTCAGGCTATAAGAGCCAGCAGGTCAGCAATTATTGTTGAACCTTGTGTTCTAGTCGTTCAGATTTGGCTCCAGTTTAATGAAGGGAGGCCAGGAAACTACTCCGAAAGGGCGTAAGCTCTGACTAAATTCCAGATGAGCGTGTTCTCTCAGTCTTCCAGCGATTGTGCTCATTACTCTGCTAAAGGTTTCGGAATAAAGGTGACAGTATGGAAAGATCGAATATTCGGGTAACATGCAGGCCCAAAGGATGATCTCTCGGAGGCTTCCAGCTGTAACCAGATAGGTTAAGAGCATATAGAGTGCTCTTGAGAGAGTTAAATGATAGGAATGGTGAGCAGTTTTCATTGTCATGAATGAATTAAATAATGTCAGCATTGGGTGGGTCCCGCAGCCGTGCTCCCCCGTGTATGGACGAGATTTCCGGTCAGAGTCGGGTGTCCCTGCTATCTCACGCACGGACGGGATGTCCGGCCAGAGTCGGGTGTCCCTGCTATCTGACGCACGGACGGGATATGTCCGGCCAGAGTCGGGGTCCCTGGTATCTTGACGCACGGACGAGATGTCCGGCCAGAGTTCGTTCGTGTCCCTGCTATCTCACGCACGGACGGGATGTCCGGCCAGGTCGGGTGTCCCTGGTATCTGACGCACGGACGAGATGTCCGGCCAGAGTCGGGTTGTGTCCCTGCTATCTGACGCACGGACGGGTGTCCGGCCAGGTCGGGTTTGTCCCTGGTATATGACGCACGGACGGGGTGTCCGGCCAGAGTCGGGTGGTCCCTGCTATCTCACGCACGGACGGATGTGCGGCCAGAGTCGGGTGTCCCTGCTATCTCACTCACGGACGAGATAAAAAGCAGCTGGACGCTATGACATCCAACCGGAGCGTTTCGCGCCTGCAAGCCGAAGAAACGGCCTGGGCGGTGTGTGGGGCCTGGCGGGGTTTTATTCTATGTTCGTTTTCGTCCGTGCCGCTACCAGGTTCGTGATCGTTCGTTGGGAGAGTTGCAGGAGGTGGGTGAATCCGGTCAATGCGGCTGTTTGTGCAGGACGGACTGGAGGTCGAGAGGGGTAGTCAGGTCCTATGAGAGGGTTACGGCCCGTGCTCACAGTCAGCCAGCGCGCCGAGCGTCGCCGCCGCCCACCCAGCGCTGACGGCCACTCCCACCGCGCAGGTGAGAAGACGACGCGACGACAAGACGAAGCGGGCGAAGCGGCGCCGCCGGCGACGGCCGGCCAAGCCGCGCTCCGAGGACGACTGCTTCCGCGGCGGCCTCGGGGCCAGCTGATCCTCTGCGACTTCGCCGACTGCCCCAAGGCGTACCACGCCAGCTGTCTGCAGCTGGACCGGGCCCCTTACGGTGAGAGGAAGGGAACTCGGCCCCCCCATCGTGAGCTGTAATCCAGATACGTGTACTACTGTCAGGCTAGAACGCTTATTGCCTGCTACTTAGAATATAAGTGTGGAAGGTACTCGTATTAGTTGCTTCTTTTGTTTCGTGGCTATGTCTGTTGAATCGTTTCACATCCTCGTGGTATTCTTGGCCTAGACGTTGATTGCAACACTCATTGTACAACGCTAACGCATCCCGTGTTTGTGAATGCGTTACTCCCTGAAGACGAAGAGTGTCGGCCTTGACCCCGGATGATGCCGAGTCGTCGCCGCGCTGACGGCGGCCCACGTCGGCAGGCAAGTGGGTTTGTCCATGGCAACCACTGCGACATATGCGGACAGCGGGCCGTGCAGAGTGCGTCCAGTGTCCCAACTCGCTCTGCAAGAACCACCTGAACA